GGGGGGGGGGGGGGGAAATAGGTGTAGTATGTTGTGCCTGAAATCACAACGGACCCTTGTAGTTGCGTGCAGGCTGTTTCTAGAGGGCAAAGTAGTTGTCTAGCGACTATCTGCAGCCTTTGTGCATGAACGAAGAAGCCGGTGGCTGCGCTCTCATGCGGGCTTGCCATTTTGTGGGGGTTCCTGCAGGCTGCGTTGCAGGCCAGGACAGGCTTGCTGCACTCCATACCAGCAACAGGCCCGTGGGCCGTCATGCCCAGGAAGCCTGGAGAGTCCAGGAGAGGTCAGATAATTGAAGAAAACCCTTATATTCACCCTTTAACTCCACCGCAGTACACAAAGGGCCCGCAGTACACGAAGGCCCTCTGCTGGGTAGCTTTGCTACGCACAAGCCGCACTACAACGTGCCGGAACTCTTTTTGCTTCACAACGCCGCATGCAAGCGTACAGAAGGACCCTCTTGATGCAAGTACTAAAGTTACAGGGAGTTTAAAAACAATTACTTGGCCCGAGGTAGCCAGTCTGCAGGTAAGTATACATGCTTCAACGTGAAACAGACCATGCCAAACAGACCATGATGCGGGGAAGCCAGCCGAAAAATAACAGCAACACCACTTAGGCCAACGTGTTTCTATTCGCTGTCAAACATTGGCCAGCTAGTTTTGATTTATGGCTTATTTCACTTGATCTGCTTCGTTCGCGGGAAGAGCGAGCAGTAACCCCCTGAAGTGTGTGTTGCTTTAGTGTCACTGGAGTGTCAGTGTAACACTGCAGAAAAACCCACGAGAACTTGACGAAACGAACGCTGTTGAATAGCCATGTTTCTGTTTAAGAAGATTTTCTGACTTGCCTTATAACTGCAAATAATTTGACTCCATCAGAACTCAGTGAACATTCCCCCCTCCGCGCTTTGGGGTTGGTTGTAGTTTGGGTTTGGGGGCTCGGAATTCTGCAGACGGCACTGACGCAATCCGGCAGAATCATTTCCTCGAATTTTTCCAATCATAGTGAAATATCTCTATTCAAAATGCGCATTTTTGTTGTCTAGGATTGAGGGTTTAGGGTCTAAGGTTTTGCTACTTACGGCTGGCTCCCACCACTTACTTAACAACTACAGCCCCAAGGGAAGAACCGAATCCATCTTCCGCGAACTACCATCTCCTCCTATTTGTTTCGAGACTAAGTAACTCTGTGGACGAAGATATTAATGTGTAGTCCGCCCGGGCTAAACCCTAAACCCCAGGCCCTGGGCCGTTCTGCGGCTCTTCGAGCAAGACAAGCCAGTAAACAGAAGAAACCGTCACTTCTCCCAGAACACTCTCCAGGTCACTAAGGTGAACGAACGCCTTTTTGTCAGCGCCGCAGGGGGGCGGGCTACAGCCCCTTGCTTCGAATTGAGGCTTGCGCTTTAGGGTTCCAGCCAATGAGCTCTACAGTGCAGGAGACCCGGCAGGCCCAAGAACAACAACTGCAAGATGTGGTAGGCGTAGGTAATAGCACTTGAGGTGTACGCACACCGCATGCAAAGGCATGTTTGCCTACGCTTCATTCAGCTGCACAGACACTGCATAGAACATTCAGGGGTTTAGGGTTGAGGGTTTGGTCTACGTAATGCCTGCAGGGGGAAGACCTTCAGACAGGGCCTCTCAAACTTGAGCACTTGTTAGCCAAAGGGTTGACAAAGAAAGATTTGGACCTGTTGAAAGAAGGTAAACCCCAGGCCCTCTTTAAAACGCACAGAGCCTTACTGGGATGAAGTAATAGAAGACATTCCAGTGCTCTTAAGCTATAACCTTTAAGCCCGTTGACAATTTTAGGGAAAGGTGAATCCACAATTCTACACTCTGATGAACATTCGAAAGGGTGCCGACTGACTTGGATTGGGTGCCGATTTGCATCTGCATCTGCATGCATCAAAAGCACGACTGCAGTTTCCCACATTTTCTTAACTTCACTAACCAGCCACTAAACACAAGACTCGTGCAGTTTTAAGCAGAGACGCGTGTAGGTTCACAGAAGGCTGAATAGTGAAGTAGTTAGTGTTGTCGTAAGAAGGAAGGGATGACGGGGGTGCACCTGTTTGCACTACGCACTGTGTGTTGTCGGTTTGCTTGAGAACCTAACTACGAGCATATGCTTGATGCAAGTGTGTGCGTGTATATGGTACACACTCGTACGCATTTTGAAACTGTCTGCATTGTCTATACACATGGCATTTGCTTGCGCGTTCGTAGACTGTATTGATGCCCACACGGGCTTTCGCGGTTGCACACTCAAATGCTCGTATGAACAGATTGGCTTCTTGCTTGCAAGGCTTTGGTTTGTTGGCTGTTTGCTTCTCAGGCGGTTTGCACACCGTAGAATGCGTAGCCTTCGCTCCTTTGAAGACGTTGCTGGCAATCAAAGGAATTAGCGAGCAGAAAGCAGCCAAGTTGAAGCAAGTCAGCAAAGAGTTGTGCAGCTTGGGCTTCTGCTCAGCGCAAGAGTACCTTGAGGCGCGAGCAAATCTCATTAAGTTCACCACAGGAAGTGTACAGCTCGATTCGCTTCTTAAAGGAGGCATCGAGACAGGCAATTTGACGGAACTCTTCGGGGAATTCAGAACTGGCAAAACACAACTCTGCCATACACTCGCCGTAAGCAATCCTGTGCTTGAGCTTCAAGGCGAATATATAGAATGCATGGGCAGAGGCCCAGAGGCTCCTGCGCACTCCTGTACGACTGTACGAGTGCATATGTAGTTACGCCCACACCAGCAACGATATTGATATCCATGTATATACCTATAGGTATGCATATGTATATGCACTGTAAGATAGAAATGGAGTGTTGTGTTGTATTAGGCTTGTAATGTCGTGCCATAATGCACATGTGAATACCGCTAGGCGAGCGTATGAATATGCATTCCTTTCTGGGCAGCAGCGTGTACACTGCAGCTCACTGGCGACGGCGGCAAAATCCCGCCTCCCTACTCTCTGCCGTGCCATGGCCCTGAACCCTATGGCCTAGGCACTTCTGGGTGCTGCCCCATTCAACGGTTGTTTGAATTATGGCATGTTGTTCTGCACGCGGCTTGCTTTCCGGTGATGCACACTGTATGAGGCATGCGCTCTTCGTCTTGCTTGTTTTTGCTTCTTGAACTAGAGCTGTGCATGCAGCCTCGGCTGCGCACATGGATGCGGCACAAGTTAGGGTGTACTTACGCGGCAGTAGGTGGATCTTCGTCCATGCGCGCAGGTGTCTTGTCAGTTGCCAGTCGAGCAAAGTGGGGGTGAAGGAAAGTGTTTGTGGATTGACACGGAAGGCACATTTAGGCCCGAACGTATCGTCTCGATTGCGAAAAGATTTGGCTTAGATCCAGGCGACTGTCTGGATAACATAGCCTACGCCAGGGCCTACAACTGCGGTGAGTATATTCACAAGGAAGCAAACCCTCTAGTTAATTGCTCCGCTAGTTTCATGCTAAACACCTTCATGCATACTGACAATGCCGCTCACTTAACGGCCACTACAGCACTGCAAGCAAGAGTGCGACAACACAGATAGGTGAAGCCCATACTTGTGTAATGACTGGAAATTGCAAACGAGCAGAGTTGATAGATACATTTGATCAATCGTTGTATTTGGTTTTGCAACAGAACTTGTGTAAAGGGGAAGCAAGCGGCAGCCTTTGCATGCACTGGATTTGCTGGTTCGTGCGCTGGTTTCATCCGCATCTTCTTTCTTCAGTCCTTCCACCTGCAATCCAAAGAGTCGACCCTCGTTCATGATATCACATCCCCTGGTGAATATGACTCCAGCTTGCGTGCTTTGTTCCTGGCTTTTGGTTCGTGTGCGTGCCGGTGGCAGCGCTACTTCTAGGTTGCTTGAACGCTCTTGAGTTGCGGTTTGTTTTGGGACTGAACTGCATGTACAGAGAACGCAAGTGCGTTCCCATGATCCTGCATGGTGTGGCGTTCCTAGCTTTTGCACGTTGCACTTGTGGCTGCGTTTTGTTGCAGATCACCAGCTGGAGCTGCTGACGCAAGCAGGAGCAATGATGGCGGAGTCTCGCTTTGCCCTATTGATTGTTGACAGTGCCACAGGTTTATACCGGTCCGAGTTCGCCGGACGTGGGGAGTTGGCCAGTAGACAAATGCATTTGTGCCGTTTTTTGCGTTGTTTGCAGCGCATTGCAGACACTTATGGTGTGGCGGTGGTTGTAAGCAACCAAGTTGTCGCCAAGGTGGACAACGGCCCTTCCCTCTTCAATAGTAACGAAAAACTCCCCATAGGGGGAAATATTATGGCGCATGCAAGCCAGACGAGGCTCTACCTGCGCAAGGGAAAGGGGGAAAGCCGCATATGCAAAATCTATGACAGTCCCAGCCTCCCCGAAGGCGAAGCTGTCTTCGCCATCGGGGAGGGAGGCATTGGGGACTATGAAGACAGCTGAATTGTTCATAACTGAAGAGTGATTTGCTCTTGCTCAACACGGGCAACCTATGTCAAGGCAGCTGCCGCTCCGCACTTCAGCCAGTCTCTTGCCAAGTAGCGACTTACCCCAATCCTATATCGCCGCTTCACCCACAGACCCAATGATAACGCAATTCATTTAAAGCTGACGGTAAATGCAGCTTGTGCATGTACGAGAAAAGAAACCGAGAGAGGGAAGACGACACACAACCACACCGTTGAGAAGGGAGACTCGCGAGACGTGGAAAAAGTGCAGCAGGCATGAACAAATTAGGTATCATTAGCTCAAATCTTCATTATAACTAAGAAAACATTCAAAATGTTCATAAAGTTACTTACACTCAGTAACGTGCCTCCGCAACGCTCCCTTGGATTAGCGTACGGGCAGTCGCGCCGTGAGGGAGCCTGCAAAATTCAAATGGAGAGAAGGGGGGGGAAAACATCTCAATTAAAATACGAAATGTGCTTTTGAGATGTCTCGAGTATTACGAGCAGCTTGACATGCTTTGTACAACTTCTACAGACATTAGCGGCAGTATTAGAGTTCTTCAGGGCTGGAATGAGCAGGTGGAGAGAGGAAGCGGCGGTACAGGGACTCATCTTAGCTCTGCTTCTTAACTCCTCCCTCATTCGTTCAAATTATTATTTATTCTGGAAATCCGTTTAACTGCATGGAATGGGACGGTAACAACGAAGTTCTGCGGCTATGCAGCCTGGTTTCCCCGCATGCAAACGGGTAGACTCGGATAGTCGGATTCTACGGGTTTTTCTCTACTTATTTGAGGCGATTCTGTTTAGTTGTTCATTACTCGAGTGACCCGTTTGTCCCTTCTTCCACAGCCTCCACTCCAGAACGCCGGTGGCGGTTAACTCAGCCCCCTGCCGCTGTTGTTGGCTGCTACACCTGGTGGTGTCTAGGGCGATCTCCCTTTCATCTTTCTTTGTTTTTTGCCGAATTCAAAGTCCGCTGGATGTTGAGGAGGAGCTCAAGATGGTCGTCGCGATCAAAGGAATTGTCGTGCAGTGGTCAGTGAACCAACGAGGGTGTTGGGCGTAGGATAGAATTGGCTTTCACGTCGTAGTATCTGCTTTTGCGTTGCCGACGCACCGCAGCTTCGGCGTACCTTTGTGCAACTGTAGAACGCAAAATCGTGGCGAGCTAAATGCTAACTCCGTCTTTCAGCGCCTTAACTTCGCCTAAAGCCTCGTGACTGAACGCCAAACCGCACTTGAACATATATATATATATATATATGTAGATTGTATGTATAGTGCACAGTTGAAGCTCCTTGGCCTTTAATTCAGAGAAATGTGCGTATGAAAGAGTTATGTCAGGGGCTCCTCGCCTACGAAGCGCGAACTTCGGAATGTGCTTACAGTGGATTCGTCCACCAACAGATGGCTTGTTTTGTTTTGTTTTGTTTTGTTTTGTGACTGCCTCTATGTCCGCTTCAGCGATCCTCCAACCATGGAGATCTTGCTGCAGCTCAATGAGAGCAGAGGCTTCGTTATTGAAATATTAAGTGGGGAGTTCGTCTTGTGCTCAGAAAGTGTTTGCGATTTCCTTGAGGTACGCCTGGAGCTAGGCTTTTGACTCTTGTTCCCTTAAGCATTTATGCGCAGAAACGCTTGCTAGTCGTGCTTCATCTAGTTACTTGGCATCGAGGCAGACAGGAGCATTTTTGGAGTGTATGCATACACCGAGTCGGTTGTTTTTTCATGTATCGTGCGGCAACTTGTAACAGTGCAGTTGCTTATGTGTATTTTTCTAAGAGCAAGCAGGTGCATGAAAGATCAGCTCGTGATACTGCAATTGGTGGCGCATAAACGAGTTTGGTTGCTGTTATTTTTAGTGGTGCTGTATTGCCACTTTAAGGCTGTAGGGGCTGTTGCAAGAACTCCACCTTGCTTTCTGCCTTTTCCCTCTTTGCGTTTGCTTCGCGTAGCTGAAGGGCATTTAAACCAACAGCATTCGCGCGACCCGTTTACGTGTAGGTTTGGAGTTTCTATGTGTACACGCAGCCCGGGTAAGATATTTATTTGCGTCAGAGCTTCACTTGTATCTGCAGAACACTTGTACCTGTTTTCACAGGAAGAGGTAACTCGTCGCTTGGAGTTGGCTGAACGGCCATTGGGGGATATGCAGAAAGACAAACAAAAGGCGGCGGGAGAAGAGGAAGGAGGCGTTGATGCGTACGGACGTTAGTGGATTGAAAAGGAACAGTGCTTTGTTCTTCTTGCAACTTCCTTTTGCTCGTTCTCAGTGAATTAAATGCACCATCTAACTGAAACAGACAAATCTCTACCGAAAATGCAGGCCGCCGCTTGCTTTTCAAGTTGCTGCGGCAGCGCGAATGCTTCCCAGTCATTTTTGACTGAATTTACCGATTTTTTTTGGCTGTTAAATAAGAGTTAGGATTAGTGGGGGGCCTTTGCATGCAAAATTGCAGCACTACTAAGAAGGGCGACCAGCTAATGGCAATAATGGCATTGGAGATAAGCAACTGACACACACTAGGGAGTGGTATGTAAAGAGTCATTGCCAGTGCCTTATTACTAAGAGCTAACAGTACTCACACAACAAACAATGGTGTGTGGACGAAAATAGCCAACCCCAAAGGCGTATGATGAAACGACAGTTGCACGGAGTGGGGTTCGAACCCACGCGGTCTTTCGACCAGGGGATCTTAAGTCCGCCCCCTTAACCACTCGGGCATCCGTGCGATCTACCGAGAAGTTGACCTCGGCTTTGAGGGGAGATACTAGAGTTGGTGTTCGTGGTGACACATTACTAAAATACTGGCTACAGAAAAAAATATCGAAGGTAATATTTGTTGCAACATAGTTTCACGAACATTTTCCTCTGTTATGATGAGAGGAATCCTCTGCCATCCAGCACGGATGCCCGAGTGGTTAAGGGGGCGGACTTAAGATCCCCTGATCGAAAGATCGCGTGGGTTCGAACCCCACTCCGTGCATGGGTTTTACCATTTCCTTGGCATATTTCGTTAGTCTTTTGGTATGATTTGAGGTTTTATTTACCTTACTTATCTATTTGTTACATACAGCACCAGAACCCTGCCACAGTTATTTAAGGAGTGCCCGGCGTCGCACGGCCAACACCGGCTCTAAAACCTCCACCAATCGGCGCAATTTCCATTAAATTCCGTGGGCCTTTCAATTAATTAAGTAATTTAGCTGTTTTTTTTCCATGTTTCAGGGGGCATCGGCATTTGTCTTTGCTACTGCCCAAGGCAACACCAGCTGTTCGCGTTGAATGTTACTTTGGACAAGTCCCCATCCTTTACCATCTAAAGTGCAACGGTCAGCTTCAAATGACCCACAGAATCCAAAAAGTAGTAATGCACAAGAAGAATTGCACTGGCGACGGCTGTGCGGTGGTTGTGAGCTTCTCTAGAAACCTTATGCCAGCTTGCTTCGCCGGAGCAAATTCTCTGAACTAGTCGGCATTTCCCGTACATTTGCTGCCATGAGCATAGACGTACCTAGTCTTCATGCTTTGGACCTAAACAAAAGCATGATATGGGGTTGTTTCGAAACTGGAATACCGTAGGCTTCTAGCTCCCATGCGGACTAAAGTTAGCGCACCCTCGTCAACCCTGCGCGTTGCACTCCTCGGCTATTCCTAAATAGTAAACATGGCTGGAGTTGCAAGTTCATTAATGCTGCCCCTCTGGCTTGTCATCGTATCATGCTCTTTTGCTTACCTATATTCGTGAAGCGAAGGCTCGCGATCATTTAGAATTCGGGCTTTTATATGTTTGGAGATGTTTGCTATCTACTTCATGTTCTAAACAACACGCGAGTAGATGAGGTTACAAATGCCTCGCGCCCTGTCAACAGCAACCTTCAAGCGCCGCTGTTGCTGCCGCTGCTGCTATGGCAGCGCGAACGGAAGCGGGAATAGCTAAAGCCACAGCCATGCCGGCTTAGCTCTGTACTGCGAGTTTGATGAGGTGTTCCATGAAGACTTTCAGACTAACATCATCTGTGTTAATAAAGGCTTCTCCTCCCTCTGTGAGGCCGAGGGGCTGTGCTGTTCCTGAATTGATGTACGAGGTTGAGGGGTTAACCTTCGCCAGCAGAAACCGCGCTTGTGAGCCGCCGCTATTGCATTGTACGTACTTGGGCGCGGGGAAACGGTCCCCCAAAACGACACTCGCATCATCCACCGGTGCCTGCATACAAAAATGGTCAGGTATACGGTTACGGTTAGGACCCCCAAAAGCCGCAAGCCATCATCAACTGTGTACTCGCGAAAAATTGCCTTCCGACAGCTTCCGCCTTACGCAGTCGTGGTGTACACTAGGTATGAGGGTTTAGGATTCGGTTTTTGCGGCATACCTGCAGGAGCTGCCTTAAGTTTTCATATTCTGGCATGTTGTGATACCCCTGTTCTCTCCATTGATGAATTAACTCTCCGTGCCACACAACAACGTGGAAAAACGAGTCCAGCAACAATATTACGTCCGGCTGCAAAACAACTCTAAGTCACAAGCTCTAAGCCCTAAACAAGGAGGCAGTCATACCACACTGCACTGAATAAAACACAAGCCAACCCTCACAAGCTCTACATTTCGCTACCGAAGCAATCAATCAACAAACAACTCAATAAAGCCTACTAAACCCTCAAACCTGACGAACTGCGATGCTAAAACAAGGCACGATACAGCAATAGGCAACGCAAGAAGGGCGATTTTAGGGTCCTTCGGAATAAACTGTCCGTCGGAAAAGGGGGAGACACTGTGCAAGCGACATAATATACAACAACTTGCAGAGAGCAAGATGCATGTTGCATGGGTCGAAATGGAGGAGATGCCTGGCGATATGATAGAACAATCTTCCGAACACACACGAATGGAACTGCACCCAATAAAGGGAACAAGCCAACTACAGAGAGGGGAAATATCATACCTTGAGCGCCTGAGCATCCAGCAGCACAGGCTGGGGAGGTCCTTGCTGGTTGAGTGAATACGAAAGCAAGGCCGGCTGAATCATCACTAAGGCATTCATAACACTTGCTCGCAACAACACAGACCTAGCGAAGCGAAAACGCACCACAGGATCGGCAAAAGGCACGCGAGGAAACAGTGGGCAAACCTGTATATCCAAAGCAAGCAAATACACCATCGGGGCACTTGTTTCAAGAAGACAAGCAAATACGCCGTGATTACACAAGTACAGGTACTAATAGATAAGGAATAATTAACAGTAATTGCTAATTTAGGGAGGACGAGCGACAGTGAGGTGTGCCACTCCTCAGGCGTCGGTTGCAGTTACTCCCACTGAGACAACTTCAAATGAAACAAAAAACAATCGTAAACAAACATGCGGGACAAGAATGAGCATCTGTCGCAAACTAGAACACACTAGTACGAATAAGTTGACACTGGGAGCGACGCTCACAACAAAAACCGGGCGTTCAACGGTGTATGCATACTTGATCATCACTAATGATACTGAAAATAATGCCTCCGAAAACAATTAAAAACTAAACATACTAAACAATAAAAATTGTCAACAAGTCGAACGGTAAATATTAGCACTACAGCTGCCTTCCCACTTCTTTGCATGCACTCTAGTAAGAAGATACCCACTGCACTCATTGCAGTCGTATTCTTTAAGACGCTAAACATCAGTGAACAAACGGGCGAAGTAAACGAATAAAACCGGAAACGGAAGTACCTGTAATAAGCAGTTTCGTCCGGACTTGCGTTGAAAGTTTGTAGGAAATGACTGCGTCTGAGGTGATACATGAATTGTGGGTAAATGGCGAACTCCGTGGAAAGATGGAACGAGTTAGGGTCATCCTTTTGGTAGTCTGCATTTTTATGCAATTAAAGGAACACGCAAGAGCTAGACAATGCGTAAGAACAAACTCTTATACGAAAATATTGATGCAAAGCCCACACAAGAACAGAAACCGTCAAGACAGCAGTTGCTCTATACCTTAACGAAAACGAAGAAACAATCGATGACAGGTGATGCAGGGAATCAAGAAGGGTTTTGATGGCATAAAGGCGAAGAAGAGCCAGGAGGTGAAGTATAGTTTAAGAGGAAAGAGAGACCCGCAGGTGAGAGAAAAGCGACAAAACAGACAAGCGCCATTCAATCGAAATGCATCGAACACAAAATACTGGAATAAAGAACGCAACGTTAGACGGGATGAAGTAACAAACGCAACCAATGAAGTTGCAGCAAAAGGATTCACCTGCAAAACGAGAAACCAGCCGAATAAGCTTCCTGTCTAGCCATCTGAGGACGTCGAGAGAGTCTTCTGTCTCCGTTTTGAAGACTGCCAGGCGCGCCATGAGCACTGCTGCCGCTTCCTGGTCAAAGCCTAAAGTGCAAACAAACTGCAGTAGAAAGGATACTTCTCAAGCTTCTCAAGGCACGTCAACTGCCTTCACGTAGCATTTGTCTTGGAGTGCAATTCCCACAGCTCATACTTTAGTACAACAATCAAAACATCACGCGTGCGCATGCTCCCAACTATCATCCGGGGCAAAGTTCTGCCGGCCTCTGGAACGCATAAAAGGCAGTCAGTGTAAAAGGGTAAAACCCAAACGGCCTGATCCAGGAATAGCCAATTCACTTGCATACACTTCCACTTTACAAAACCTAGTAAGGCAATATATGCTCTTGCGTGCATAGACCTTAATTATTGGCCAAAACGAAACCCTACGAAAGTCTGAAAAGTGGACCTAGCTAGACCTGCAATGCACTACACTTCAGCTCATTCGCTCGAGGGGCACCGAACTACCACTAGGCAATGCTTCAGCTGGGCACATAGCTCCAGTAGTGGGGAAATATCACATCATAAGTTAGCCCACAAGCAGGTGAATGTGCGCCATGTTTGCAGAAGAAGAACTAACCTGGGGCTATATCCAGAGGACTTTGGTCTGCAAATCTGTAGGAGAGCGTTGTAACTCGCAGACGGCGTCTACCGCTAGGGTGTAGGTAAGAGGTTTGAAATTGCAGGAAAGATTGCTTTCCTGAATAAACCAGTGAAAAAAAGCCAACGAAAGACCGAATGTCAAACGCCGCTAACGCAGGGTATAAGCACAACGGAAGCAACGGGTGACGGAAGGCATTTTTCGTCGACAAAAATGGTGATTGGGCACTAGCACTAAACTCTATTGCAACTAAAGAAAAACTGCACCAACAACACGAGGAAAGGCTGAAAAACAGCTACCCACGTCGAAATCACGAGTGAGTTGAGCACACATTCATCCATTCGTATCTCCTGCGTCTGGAGAATATTTAGCCCTGCATTCAACGAATCACCTGGGGGCAAATTTGAAACATGCTGATTCGTAACTTCGAAGTAAAATGCAATTGTTGTTTCTTTATCCATTGCAGCCGCCTGCCATTCACACGAAGCGCCTTCACCCACAGTCAAGTCCGAAACTTGAGCCCCTTTCTTTCCCGTGCCTGCAAAAAGAACAGCCATAAATACAAATTGAAAATAAATGCACGAGTAATGAAGTAGAAAGCGCGGAAGAACATGCGGAAAATCCTGAATAGCTGAGTGCGTAAGACAGTGGCTCAACCAAAATTGACGAAGCAAGAGACAAAGAAATAAAGAACAGCAGCACAACGAACATACAAATGGAGCATAACAACTGTAGTCATCTACGCAACTGCATGCGTAAATCCGACTCGAACTAACCCACCGGCAACATAAAGAAGGACACGCTGGACGTAGAACAAGGGCAAACTAAGTGCAGAACGGAAATCAGTGAATAGCAAATGACCAAGTAGGGCATGCATTCAAAAATACTTTCCTTGCGAGGAAACAAACCAACGGGTAAACGAATAAGCAGTGCCACGAATGAAGCGTTTTGGAACACGACATGACAGCCCAGTGAACAACCAAAAGTGGCGAGAGTTCATGTAGTCCGAATTTTTGGGAAAAAATAAGAAACAGACGCAGCGCAGAGGGTGAAATGATTGATCCAGATGATAACGATCCAGCAACGAGAACGATTTCGAAGAAAAAGGACATAAACTCGGAAGAGCAAAATACAGACGAAACAAAGAAATTAACAACCGAGGAGACGCAGTAAGCTTAAACACAAAACGCAAGCGGGAGAAATACCGTCGGAGATTGGCAAAATTAACTTGCCAGCCTACTTGTGCATGGGCCGATAGCCCCACAGACTTTGAACTCTTTGCTGCACAAAACCTCCATCTTCGCGTTGAAGCCCATTTTCAAGAACCCTGAAGGCCACAAACCAACAACAGACCAACAGGACTAAAGAAGAAACACTCAGACATCAATTTGTTTTGATGAGCCGAGCAGACTGAAGGCCGGAGTAGAGAAGAGACAGAAGCCCAACAAGAAAAAATGCAGCATCTGCTCCGCCAGAGTAGCAAACAGATGGCAATCTGCATAGTAAGGCAGCAGCCATTCTCGGCCTACCTGTGGAGTCGGTCTCCAAAAACTTTTTGAGGCTGTCTTTGTAGACGTTCAGCGAGAACGAATCACTCATTATGACACACCCTCCCGTCTTCTCCGGCATTACCTTCATCTCATACAGACCCACCTGCTCACAGCAATGCCAGCTTCAAATGAACAAATAAACAAATAATCTAAATAAGCTTTCCTGCCTCTCTCGACTCACGGAGCAAACGCATGAGATTACACAACTGTACTCGTCTGTCCATCGGCCTGGTTATACGCCCATTTAATGGGGCCTGGAGACCAAACAAACAAGCCTCCCCTCCTATGGCACGCCAATCCCTTCAGGCGGCAACGACTACCGCCAAACAGAGACAAATACTTCCTTCTTTTCTATTTTCTGGGTTCTTTTACAGCGGTGCCAATTACTGAAGCACGAGAATGCATGTACAGATTCGTGGACAAAAGGTGCGAAAAATAACGAATTGAACAGCCTGCATCTACCTAATGCACCCAACGGGAATGTGGGCATGTGAACAAGAGGAACGGCACACGGAACAACCGGAAAAGGATGCCAGAGATGACGGAACGTTCGCGAAACACCCTCACCTGGTCCAGTGAACAAGCAAAGATATCCACAGCGCAGCCGGCCCGAACAGCTCTATTTGCTAGGGACGTATAAAACTTCAGCGCCTTCTGCACAAACCGTGCATTTTGGTTATCCTTTTGCAAGTCCAAGTGGTGACGGATGGACTCTGCCAATGGCAGATCCACGATCTGCGCACACACCCAGCTTGACTGTCTGAAATCTTAGTGGAATTGCTAGGACTTTTCAGGCACTGCCATCGCCCCAAAATAAGATTACGTTGGGGTATTTTCCCGCTAGCTATCGGCACAGAGCATCCATACAGACACACCACGCGTGTACAGCCCCCACAGCAAACGGACCGAGTAACAAGACAAATCGACGAACAGCGGCGAACAAACTGGTATATTGATAAAAGAAATAGGCGCACCCGAGCAAAGTCGACAACGCACCAATAACACCTGGGATAGACGAATCAGCACGATGTTTATAGGGCAATACCCAAAAATGAGAAAGAACTCAAACGCGCTCGTCGCATGCTATGCAGATGCAGCCGACGAAGGGGGTACGATGAATATAAAACAGGAAGCGAAGAGGCATGCAAAAACGAACCCACCAACGGGAGAGTCGCCGCAGAGGGGAACAAACACGTAGAAGACAAGAAACAAGCAAAGTGAAGTAACACCAAACAAACTGAGATTTAATAATAGCCACAACTCCCCTGTTGGGTATCGTCGCGGACGCTCCGCTCCGCCTTTGCAGCGGCGAGTTTCAAAGGCGGGACGTTCGCGACGAACAAACAACTCCGGATAGAAACGAAGAGACACGCAAGCCAAGGAAGAGGCAAACCAACAAGGCAGGGAGAAAGCAAAACGAAAACAGAAAAGCACGGAAACAGCAAACTGCAACAACGGCGAGAACCCAAACTAAGAATACCTGCCCAGGTCCCGTTGTGCAGACTCCCCCAGTGAAGAGAAGAATGCGGCAAGGCAGCTGCAGCCAACAGCTTTCCACCAACGCAACTGCAACGGACAACGCCAAGCCCGTGCAGCGCTTCGGCCTGTTTGCAAAAACAAACACAAAGTGACAATGCAGCTGCAGCGGCCAGAAGGACCCCTGACCCCGAAGAAACAGATGAACAACACTCCATACCGAACTCCCCAAACCTAACTACGAACTCTAACTGAACAGCAAATAAACCAAAGCCTTATACAACATAAAAGACGAACGGAAGGGGACATCCGCATCTGCAACGTGTGTGCACGTTCTTGCATATATATGCAGGTTAGAAAAAGCTGTCCGATTACAAGTTGGAGATGAGACTTCACACGCATCTGCATCTCTACGGAGTTTACAGACTAAAATTATGCTGCCGTTCCTTTGCGACTGTTGACTAGCGGAAACACACAACGGCGGGACGTGAACATGATCAAACCCTAAACCCTCAACCCTGTTGAACGCTATGAACCCCGTAGCCCCACTAGCCGTAGAAGCCCTTACTCAGCATGAACGAAAGTTCCAAAGCCACTACGCCCAACAAAACCATGCAAGCACCGTCCTAAGCCCCTTTGGAACCTTCTTCCCCGACATAACAACTTGAAACCTACCGGGAGTCAGCGGGAACAGGCCAGTAGTCTTTGGAGAGGTTCTCGAGAATGAAGGAAACTTTCGCTTCACATTCCCCCACAGGCTGAATGAAGCGCGCTGCTGCTGCTGGCACCAGTGGATGCCGTGTTGTTGCGCCTCCCGAACGCGGAGCAGCATAAGAAGAGCCTGGCGAGAGGCCAAGCTGCTGCTGAATCTGCACAGCAGCGTACAGCAAAAAAGGAAAAGCAAAAACTCACTACAACTTGGGGCCAAAAAAGCAAAAATATGCCCCGAGACTTAAACTGCTGAAGGCGAACCAGCCCGTGAGACGTCAAGTGCAAACCCGCCGAACGAATGAAGACATAGGCACACAAATACAAGCAAACCAACAAACCAGCACCTTGATGCATGAAAAAATAATAGATAAATAAACGGAAAAATGGGGTGGAGAGCAGGCCTCCAACACAGTGAAGCTACGAGCAGGTCACTTGCAGATCAGCACAGCGGGGCCGCCTCGTCTGTACGGACGAAATCAGCAGCTTCAGCTGAGTACCAGCCAGAAACTTTAGCTCCACTTGAAGCACCAGCGTTCCAAGTGGGGCTGCAGCAACAGCAGCAGGAGCAGCAAGGAGCAGTAGCAGCAACAGCATCCGGCCTACACTAGCAGAGGAGAGTTCTCTGGATCCGTGGAATACATGCACTTTGTTATACTCGCTGGGGTCAGCAATCTCATGAAGCATGCACATTGCACCAAACGAAATCAAACAAATCATTGCGTCTGAAGGCATCAAAGCCAACGCCTGCACGCAGAACACACCACAGCAACGAGAAAAGATTATAATAAAAGTAACTCATCATAAAGGCAACCGAAAAGGAGTCATCCACGCCAATCATACCAAAAAGCAAAAGGCAAAACGTTAGAGGCGACCGAAAATGCCGCGAATATCTAACGTGCTGAAGCAGGGACAGCTGCGGCTGCTGCAGCAGCATCAGGCGTTGCTGCAATACCAGCTGCTGCTGCTGCAGAAGCTGCTGCCACTAGCGTATACTGTATGCTTCACGAAAAGCCAGACACTACACGCACCACAGAACGCGCATGAAATGCAATCTGAAAAAAAAGTTAAGAGCACACGGATAGGCAGCAGCAAACGCATGTGCGATTGGCTAACAACTCTTTCTAGCAACACATGCGATAGTAACGAACGTCACTGATGTGGGAACGGCCGAACAAATGCGTGCAAAGCAACACCTATCAAAAAACAAATACCCTGTGTAGCTAGCAACACAGAGTGTGCACAAGCCGCCGGCGGCCGCACGGCAGCAACAGCAGCAGCAGCTCCAGATCACGAGCGGCAGCCACACCCACAGCATCACAAATACCTGAAGCAGCGAGTCTTTGAGTTGCTCAACTTCCTCTTCTATAATACAGGTGTCAAGCACCAACACAAAGAGAGGTGGTGGCAGCAGCTGGGTACCTGCTGCTGTTGCTGCCGCTGCTGCTGCTGATGCGCTGCTGGGCAGAGACGAACTCGGCGGCAATATATATTCTATTGTAGGATATAGCAATTCCGCCGGCAAGTTCTGCAACGAACCACACAGCAAACGCGTCCTTTGTTGTTACGCCCCGCCTCCATCTCAAACTCTACGGACTCGCCTTGGAACACCGACAAATGCGCTTGCAGGAAATACACACAACATGAGAGAACCAACGAAGGCGGCCAAGGAGACCAACGACACCGTGCATCAATTCATTTTATTAAAGAAAAATTAAAAAACGAGTGCCGTGTGAGCTTGGCATCCAGCACACACGAGATAAATACACCCAAGTGCAACCGACAAACGAACATGTGCTCATAAAATACACTTGTGTATACGCAAAACATGACTGCCGGGAGCACGAAAAAACGAATAGACAGATAATCCAACAATCCAATACCTTGGAAGCAAACTTAGTACCCACAATAATAATAGAATGGAGCCAGAGATAGCAAGCAGCAATGGGAAAGCAAGCCGTACAACCTTCAACCGCCTAAAATTACTTGAAAGAGAACAATACAAAAAAACCACCAGGCAGACATCGCAACAGCGACAGGGGCGAAAGGATAAATGACAGAAGCGTATGACCAACCTGCTCCGATATATGGGCGGCGTAATGGCTAGGGAAAGAATTTCTCTGGAGAGAGAAGGGGCAAGTCCAACTCTTGTTTCTACAGATGCAACAGCAGCAGCACCGCAGGGGAGGCAGCAACAGCAACCACACGAGCACCACCAACAGTCAAAATGAAGCACCAAGACGCACACACAACACAAGCAACAGCAGCAACGTCGCTGGCGGAACCAGGAGAATCCACAACAGCAGCAGCATAAGCAACAGAAGGAGAGAGCACAGACAGCAACAGTGCAACAGCAACAGATAGTGCAACAGCATCAAAACCAGGAGCTGTGGAACCAGCAGCCCAAGTGGCGGCAGGACCAGGACGAGCAGCAGCAGGATGAGAAACAGCAGCTGCAAGATCAGCAGAAGCAGGTATTACCTGAAATCTACTGCACAGAAGGGGTTTAGGACGCATCCGCTGGCCCTGCACCTGACGGGTTCATACTCGACCAGTTGCAGATGCGTGCAGTCCCTCAGAGGAGTGTACATACACCCTAAAGGCAGTTCGATTTGCTGCGCCTCAGCCCGCGTTGGCGGCCAAATGTTCCACGAAAAACGGCAGCCTGTTGCTGCCTCGTGCTCGTGAACGTCCATCGTTTTCAGCCTTAGACCCCAAGGGCTACACCCTAAACCCTAGTCTCAAATGGACGTAAGCAAGACGTCAGGAACTGTTGCTGAGTGCTTTCACGCCGCAGCAAACAGACAAACACTGCCCCTGCCAACCTGGCACGAGGGTATTGCAAGACAGATCTAACAACCTCTTCCTGCCGCTGCTTATGCTACTGCTGTTGCTGTGGCTGCTGCTGTAGCTGATGAACAGATGCTGCTGCTGCGGCTGCTGCTGTGGTGGATGATGAATGAGGAAGGACCCGACCGGTACTCCTGCTGCCCATCCGCCTGGCTTCTATGGAGCGACAGTACAGCAGCAGCAGCGGCAGCGGGGGGCGTCGCCGCTGCCTAGAGGGGGCCTGGAAAGTGGCAGTTTGTTTGCCTTCTGAAATGTTTATATATATTTCAACTTAAATATACAAAATGCATCACCAGGGAGGAGAAATGGTCTGGGGCTTCGGTGAGACGAGGGGGGCGCAGGGCCCCGAGATGAGGTTCGTGATTCCAGCAACAAAAATACGGCGAATAGGCAGGCCACATGCGACAGAATGTGCATGCAAAAGTGTGAAAAGGCCGCAAACAAGCAGCAAAATTATCAACAAACCGTCTGCTCTGGGGCCACTGCTGTGAGATGCGGAGCTGCTGCTGCTGCTGCTGCTGTTGCTCTGCTGCTGTCGCCGTCTTGCAGAATAGCGCCCGTACTGTCTCTTTTTTTGTGGAAATAAGACGTTGTAGAACAAATTGTCTGCTAGCATAACATTAGACAGGCACGTAACTAACTTCCGGCGTGCGTGCAGCCGCTGCATCGCTCCCAGCAAGCGCCGAAGAGTCGGCCATACGTATATTTCAAGCACTTCCCTACATTAAAGAGTTCCTCAAGAAAATAAATAGAGCGGAGTATTTAGCAACAAATAGTGGAGCCAATGACCACAATCCTCTGCTTACTCCACCACATGCGTAGACAGCCAGCCGGTTAATTATTATATACAGATGTAGGACAGTACAGAACAGGGGGTCGCCTCTCGGCGAGCAGCCCAGGACAGCTTGCAGCAAATAGAGCAGTGGCAGCTGCGCCCATTTGCCTTTTCGTCTACCCGGATAGCAGGGTCTGCCCTCAGAACTACGTAGTGCGCTTTGTACTTTAAGTGCGCTCTTGCGCAGTACGTGCTAAACAATATATTCCTGTTAGTGCATACATCATAGGTGTGTTCTTGCTTGCACATGGGGTGTCCTTTCGGCAGGAGCTGCAGCAGAAAATGCTGCGGCTCGGGAGAGGCGCGTCCGTTCCGCAGCAGCCGCAGGCCTTTGTGTTGCTGCTGCTGTTAGGGGATGTACTCACTTGAAGTTTTTGGCGGGGTTGAGGCTAGCAATACGCCTAGGCTAAAGGAGAGGACTCTCGTCACACCGTTAGGCGAATAACTATATAGGTCGTGCGCCCACTTGTGAACAGCCCTTCAACTGTATCGGCCAAGCTCTCCGAACCGCAAATCAAGGCGTCCACACAATGCATTTATAATATACATGTACTAATACGTGTATATACATATATATGCATATATATGCATATAGCAGCAAACAGCCGAGATTTCCCCCTTTGCTCTCCCGCTCAAGAAGGGGCGTTTCACCAGTGCAAGCGTCATACCTGCATGTTGATTGAATACAATTATGGACCAAACAGCAAGCATACTACTACGGTGTATGCGCTTCCGAGAGTTTCTGTTAGTTACAGCATGTGCAAATCAAAGTGCTAGTGAAGCTGTCCTGCACTCAATTAAATGTGGGCAGGTACTAAAATAGGGTATTCTATTCTATTCAAACGATTCCACATTTCGAAAAAATAAAATATACAAGCGAATCACGGATGAGGAAATTGGCAGCAACATGTGCAAAAATCAAACTTATGCACGCATTTATGAGCATATATATATATATATGTATACGCGGCATGAGAGATTCACAGAGGTGATAGTGTTTCTGTCTACAGATGCTAGACAAAGATATTACTCTATGTAACTGTACTGCAGAGGGCATTTCTTCGCGCTGTCAGTGCAAAAGAGGTCAAGAAAAGCCCTTTAGGGAACGAAAGATTAGAAGACAAGCAAACTATGCTTCAATAACCTGCAAAAACGCAGCAGGGAGTTTCCAAGCGAAGCCCCCAACCCAAGTGTGCAACGAAAAACTGCGAAGGAAGCACGACAAAACAGCAACAGATAAAATGGACGAAGGGCAAAGCACAGATCGAGCAGGAGGAAAAGAAGATAAGCTTAACGTGCAGCACAGGAAACAAACAGTGACATCCCGAACAGACAAACTAACAACTGAAGGGAAACGAATTCGGCAGTAGAGAGAGACAGCACTCTGCCAGCAGAGCGGCAGCCTGTGCGCTTCTTGCTGCCAAAGCTGTGTCTCGTTTGCTGTCTCCTTGTTCTATGAATGCTTTTACTTCTTCTCTCGACCTCCAAACAGCAAAACAAACGCTCTCCGACACGTCTTCCCGTTTGCGTTCTGCTGCTGCTTCTGCTTCCGCTGTTGCAGCGTCCGCCGCCGCTGCCGCTGCCCAGCAGCTCAGGATATCGTAGAGGGCTCCAGCAGCAGCAACCACAAGAGGCTGAGGGTTCTGACCCAACGCGACAGCAGTAGCAAAATGCCGCATCAACGTCTCGGTTGCTATAGCAAGGCGCCTTATATTTGCGTCCTCGAATGACAGCCCACAGTCCAACCATAGCACCAACGAGACCCATGCGCTCAGCAGCACCTGCTGCGCTTGCAGATACAGATGCTCCTGCGTTGGGTGCAGCACCCAGAGAGCAGCAGCACCAGGGCCCCACGTTGCAGCACCACGGACCCCAGCCTGTGCCTCACAGACAAGCAAACGACAAAACATACACACTGCTGCTTATGCGGCTTCCGCACTAATGCTGCTGTCCCTGCAGCTATTGTTTTCGCAGCGCCCCTTGCGACAGCAGAAGAAGCTAACTTGAGACATGCAGATCAAAGGCCTCCTTCTTACCTCTGTAGCACCAGCTGACGCGGTGGAGCTAAGCTTCGCGTGCAGTGCTTGCACGCCTGCTGCTGCTCTCTTCATCGCCTTCCTCAACCAGAGAGTCCTAGCGTTTGCATGGGACTTTCTGAGTGCTGCCGCTGCAGTTGGTGTTGGTGGCACTGCTATTGCCTCTGCTGGTGCTAGAGCTGCATCTTGAGCTGAGAGTGCTGATGCTCGTGCTGCTGTTGTTGGTATTGCGTTCGCTGGCGCTGTCTGCGCGTTGCAACTGCTGTTGCTGTCGCAGTGCCAACAGGTGCAGCGGATGGCTGCTACTCTCCCCCTCAAGTCCTGTACAGCAGTCACAGCCGCTCCTTTATGATAAATTGCTGATGCGCTGGCCAGAACCACTGCCTGCCGCACTGCAGCAACTGTTGCCCCAGTTTTTGTTCCCTTTGCTTGATCCCTCCCTGTGAATGCCCGGTTCTTCGTCTCCTTTCCTCCCTTCGTATCTGCCTCTGCGGCTTGCACATTTCCTGTCTGCAAGGTTTTCTGAGGTCTTGCAGTCTGCTGCTGTTGCTGCTGCTGCTGAAGGAACAACAGAAGCAGAAGACGGGCTGCCACTTGCATCGCGAGCAGCGGGTCTCCATATATGTTCATTGGCTCCTCTTCAAATAGTTTTTCTTGTTCAATAGTGCCTGCCTGCTGGGGCTGCTGCTCCTCAGTTGTTGCCGTTTCTTCTTCAAACCCTGTCGATGCGCTGTTGTTGTTGCTGATGCTGCTTGGACTGATGGTACCTCCACGCAGCTGTCTCCACAGCAGCCGCCAAACATCCCTTTCAGGAAAAGTCTGCATGCAAAAGAAAACCACGAGGCAGCCCACCGTTCACATGTCACCAGCAACTGCTGCTTCTGCAGCAACAGCAGCTAATTCAGCAGCAGCAAGCGCAGCAGCAGAAACCTCAAAGCAGCAGAAGCAGGTTGCACAGCATCACGCGTAGAGACATTTGCCTAGCTCAGCAGAGACAGGAGCAGCCTCTAACCACACAGCAGCAGCAAAAAGAAGCAACCTCAAAAGCGGCAGAAGCAGGCTGCACAGCATCACGCGTAAAGGCATTTGCCTAGCTGAGCAGAGACAGGAGCAGCCTCTAACCACACAGCAGCAGCAAAAAGAAGCAAGCAGCAGGGGGAGGCAGCATGCGGAAAGCCGAGCACAAACGCATGCTCCGCCTACCCTGGAGAGGACCTGTAGCAGCAGCTGAGAGAGGGTGCCTGCCTCCAGGCCGTGTGGCTCGTCGCTGAGGATCGGAGTTGCTGCCGCAGCCAGCAAAAGCAGTGTTTCTTCCATCTGCTCGTTGCTTTCCCTAACTGGTGCTGCACCTACTAGCCCACACGCTGCTGTGGGTCTTGCTGTTGCCGACCGGAGGCGACAGAGCAGCCCAGCAGCAGCAGCTGAGGCTGCTGCTGCTGCTGCGTCCCTCACGGCGACGTCTTCGTCCTGCAGCCAAAGTCGCAACAGATAGACCCCGGAAACCTCAACAGAGGCCGTTTCTGCTTCTTTTGTTGTAACTAGCCTATGCGGCAAGGAAAAAGTGTGCACCTTCCGCTGCTGATGCCTTAGAAGTGCAAATATTTAGGCCGCGTGGTCACATGCATGCAGAGTTGTTGCTCCTGCTGCTACTGCGGCTTATGCAACTACTTGCGGCAAACCTGCAGGAGCAGCAGAAGCGCCCTCCAGGCTCGAAGTTTTGCCCAAGAACAGCAGCAGCCAGGGCCCTGTCCAAGACCTTCCATGCAAGGTAGAGGTAGCCCGGAGATGCTAAGGGCCTACGCGACAGCAAACCATTGGCATCACGAAGCAACTGCTAGGCCGCGCACGTTGCTTAAGCACAAACCCAGTTGTCGTTCTTTCATTCCGTGAGAAGCCAACAGGAGGTATACGCAAAGAAATTGCAGATTCAGGGAAATGAAGATACAGAGACAGCGAGGGGAATGAATGCGAGTGCGAGGATTCACGCAACAGGAAAATAACGCAAAGACAAGCACAGCGGTAGCAAAGGATATTAAAACAAACGAGATGATCTACAGAAGAAGAAGGGGCATAACTACAGTCAAAAGGACTTCACCACCCAGAAAGACAGAATAAGGAGCCAGACAGACAGATCAGTGCTGACAGGCTCCCAGCAAGTGGAGAGGACAAGACAAGCTGATGCAAACAAACTAGAAACACCGCAGGACGAAGGAGTGGGTAAATATGTACATAAAGGCCTTGTGGAAATTCGGACTTCGTGTAAGCTCACTTCTGCAGCTCTTAGCCTGACAGCAACTTCCTGCGCTGGCTGAGCGCACCGCAGCACTGCGGATGCCCAAAGGCCAGCCCATCGGTTCTCCGTCGCTTCAAAGCAAATCGAAACGGTGTTCATCTCGCTGCTGCATGTTCCGCTACTGCTGCTGCAGGCTGCAGCAGCTGAACACCTAAGGAGCGCAGCGCCCAGCCGCGTCCAGGCGGCCGCAGCGGCGTTGCTGGTTGACGCAGCCGCCGCCGCCGGCGCTGCCACACCAGCTGCTGCAGCTGCTGCTTTCTGAGGGTGCAAAATGCAAGACCCCCTGCAGAGCCGAGGATGTGCTGCAGCAAAAGCGGCAAAGGCAGCCAATGCCTCGCAGGCGGAAACACTCAAGGGAGCCGAGCTGCAACGGAGGCCCCATACCGAGTTTTTAGACTCCGTTGTTTCTGATATCACCTCGCAGGATCCGCTCCCGATCCCCAGGCAGTTGGTCAAAATGCTCCAACACAACTGCCACAGCGTCGTGAGGCCGCCGGTTACATCTTCCGCTGCATGCAGGACGTCAGCTTTTGCCTGATGCCCCAAGCTCGAACCAAACCCCTTTGTAAACCGTGAATCTTCAGAAAGCCTCTGAGCAAACTCCAAATCCTCATATCTAAAAGTACACAGGGGTCTAGTTAAATCGGCCACTGCTAGCAGCGCCGACTCCAAGGCCTGCGGGTGCACTGACAAGGCAACAGCCCCTTTTATTACTACGGCAACCCTGCCCAGAGAACGCAAATGTGCTGCCGCTGCGTCTGCCGCTGCAGTGGGCTGTCGGGGCCTGAGGTGCCGCTCCACAAGGAGACGCAGTGAGACCGCCTGGAGAACCGGCAGGCCCACGTGACTGATGAAGGAGGGTCCTCTGGCCTTGGCTGTTGCTGTTGCTGCTGCTGACTCCTCTGCGTCTATTTCTTTGTCATCTGGAAGTAGCCCCAGCGCTGCTGTGCTGGCGGCGGCAGCGCGGCCCCACAGCTCCTCTTGGTACCTCTCGGGGGCCACAAGGGCCACAGCCCGCATCACCTGAAGCAGAAGCACCCTCTCCACAGCACTACGTTGGCAAATAGCCTCTCCTACTGCTGTTGCCGCTGCTGCCTTCTGCAGTTGCCAGTTCAGTTTCCGCAGCTTATCAGACAGCTGGACCCCGTGCTCTGCTCCCAACGCCTCCTCCACCAAATTTGCAGCATCTGGGCGGCCCAGCACCTCCAACACCAACAGCAGCAGACCGCTCCGTTCGTTCGCGTCCAAACGACGCCCCATCCAATCCGCAGGTGCCGTACGAACAAACGCACTTGCAGGAGTACTCGATGAGGCCCTGGGAACTCCTGCACCAGATAAAACTGCGTCAGGCAAGCTGGCTGCCTCTTCAGGAGTAGCAGCGGTTGCTGCTGCTGCTCCGGCAGCAGCACCAGCGGCTGCTGCGATGAGTGCCTCCACAAGGCTGGCAGCCCCCCACGTGCGGGCTCTCTGCAGAACATAGGAAGCCAAAGCGCGCGCTGCGAGGGCACGGGAAGCAAACGATGCAGAGCCCAAACAGCAGCACAAGGAACGCAGCAGAAGCAGCAGCCAAGATGAAGTTTTTCCGTCTTCTGCCGCTTCACAGCCCAGCCCAAAGGGAGCACGTGCACCCAGCTGCAGCGAAGCAGCAGTAGCTGCAGTACCAGAACCATCCATAACCCTCGCATCCCTTGAGGAACTGCTGCTACACCAGCAGCAGTTGCAACTGATGCTGCCGTCGGCAGCCCCCACTGCAGCAACCTCACGCAGCTGAGTCAAGATTGTGTTCGGGGGACTATTATGCAGCAGAGTCTCAAGGGCGGGGAGGTCAGAAGCAGCGATGGAGCTATGGTCTGTTCGGGTCAGTAGCAGTAACACAGCGACTGCTGCCTCCTGCTGCTGCTGCTGCTGTTGCTGCACCCTAGCTGACTCTGTTGAAGGCAAAAGCCCCACTGGCAAACGGCTGATAAACTCGGAGGCACCGGGAGGTCCCTGAGCTGCCAGGCCACGGACGAGCAAAACAGCATTTTGTGGTATTACCAGCCGATGTTGCTGCTGTTCCCGCTGGTTCGCCTGGTCCACAAGCTCGTGGCGGTCTTGTTGCTGGTGCTTCTGGATCCGATGGAGGCGTTGGGGGTTGTTTTGCTGCAGTCGGCCGTTGCCACTTGTATGTGCCGTTGGATTTATGGCAGTACTGACAAGTGGGGTAAGGGCCTGAGCCAAGAGGGGGCGCAGCTGGGGAGAAGCAAGGGACAAGAAGTCGATGGACAGTAGGCCACTCCCTGCACCCGATATTGTGCGCAGAGCAGCTCCGCTGCAAAACTCAAAGGGGTTTGATGACGCGCGTTGGGTCTGCAGGTCAACAAAGCAGCAGCATCAGCATCAAAGGGACAGGCAGGGGCTGTTACACTATTTTTGGAGAATTGTTCTGTCGCAATTAGTGAGAGCCTCAGGCTAGGGTGCTTTCGGAAGCAGCGAACACCAGCATGCAGTTGCCACTAGGGTCTAAAATTAGGGTTCAAAGGTAAAACTTAGGGCAGAAAGATTGTCATTACTTCGTCGTCAGTGCCTGCCAGTCGCTTGGTGGCGGCAACCTGAAGAGAACTTGCGGCGCTGCGCACGGGAAAGTCTGCTGAGGCGACAGTTTGAATGGAGACAGCAAGAGCTGCAACAGCAAGGGCCATTGGGCGGCTAGATCTGGGGTGCACAGACGGCTCAAGGGTCTCGGTCGCTAGAGCCTCTCCGGCAACGAACGTCGACGGGTCAGAAGGACCTTCAGGAGGAACCCCTGCAGTCCCCGTGGGTTGCTGCTTGTGCGTTCTACTGCTGCTATTGCTGCTATAGCCGCTGGTGCTTCTCCCGCTGTCGGCGCTGTTGCATCTGCTGTTGCAACTGCAGCAGCCCCGCAGTGCGTCGTCTGCTGCTGCTGCTGCTGGCAACACATCGCACGCTGCGAGCTCAGGAGAAGTGGCAACGAACGATCGCAGCAAATTGAGCGCATGGACTTGCGCGCTCAGGGCTGCGCCAGAGACACAGACAAACAAAAGCAGAGAATAGACCTAGAAATCAAAATAGAAACAGAGACAGAGACAAACCCCCAGAGATACGGAAACACACGTGGATTGAGACATAGCTAGATAGGTGCACGGAGCCGCTTTTGTGCCTCCCCACAGCATCGCAGGTGCCGCTGCTGCACCTGGGCACCAGGTGATGCAGGGGCGGCAGGTGCTGGTATCACGGCAGCAATGAATGGGGAGCAACCAGACAGCTTGACCACCCCGCCACCCACGCCTCCACCCTCCCCCGGGAGGGTCTTGCTTCGAAGAATTTTGCTTAGAAAAACGAGCGCAGCACCATTGTGTTAAGGTGTTATTGCAATTCGCATTGTTGTGACATTATTGCCATCACGATTGCTGCTAGCCTCGTACTTGTTTGTGTTAGCTGCCTAAACCCCATTATCGCGACTATTCCTACCATTTTGCTTAATACGGCTCCTATTCTTCCAGCTAGTTGCACGCGGTTGCCAGCTTGCTTTTATTCTTTTCGCTGCCTTGTGAACACCGATGTCTATGCTACGGTTCCCTGCCATTATTATATTTGTATTGTAATCCCAGCCAGCCATCAAAAAATCAGCTCAAGCTCTGCTGGTCGAATAAGCTGTGTCTGCGCATGAGCCCGCTACCCTACATGTGAATTTCAATAAATCATTCTCACGGTTTATAGTTTAGGATTCAGGGTTGGGAGACGCGCTTACCGTCTGAAGCTCCTGCGAAGAAAGGCCGCAACCGGCCGGCGGCCAACGGCAAGAGGCAGGAGACAACGTGCAGCAGGAGACGAAAATCCAAGGCCCCCCCTTTTGCCCCCTCACCAACTTCGAAGACGACAAACAGGCAGTCGCAGCAGCAACAACAGCAGCAGCGCAGGCAGCAGCAGCGGAGACGGCTGTACATAAGAAGTTTTCAAACAGCTAGACGGGGCAACAGAGGCAAGCAAGACACAACGCGTTTCTGCTCGTCTCTTAGGTGTCTGCGTTTGTAACTTTTTGTAACTTTTCTGCCTCTAAATGGTCATAAGTACTCTTTTACACTCTGATTCAGCTGCCGTTAGCGGCTGCCCCATTTGTCTGTCCCCGTGACTATCTTCTTCGGCCCATCTTCTACGGTGTTTTCTGCCTCTGTCTACTCGTTCAGTCTCTGGGGCTTCTCCTTGTCAGCGTTTCTCTTAGGCTTGCTCTATGTCCTATCCTGCAGGCCAATCAGCCCTTGATGCTGCACTACTGAAAATTGGATGCCTTACTCCCAAGCAGAGCACTAAACACAAAACACAGACTTTTGCTCTTGCGTAGTGGGGGCGGGGGGCCGGTAGCGCTTCGACGAACTCTCAGAGGCATCCCGAGGGCGCCTAGAAAAACTGCTGCTGGGTGGCGCTGTTCCTGCGGTTTCTGCTGCTGCTGCTCCTGTTGCTGTGCGCATCGTTCCGAAGCTTGCTGCCGTGCATTTCGTTGACGCTGTTTTTGCTGTTCGTCCGGCTCAGCTTCTGAGGCACTTGGTAATAAAAGCAAAAGGACTTCGTCTGCCCACTGACGGGTGAGGCTCTGCAGGGGAGACCCCTTAAAAGAGCTGAGTTTAAAGCACAGAGCAGCGAGGGCGTCGTGAAGGAACTCTAAGGCCCCTGCAGCAAATAGACAACGCAACACTAGCAGGTGCAGAGGTAAATAAGGAGCTGAGTCTGCTGGCAGGCAGCTGCAATCATCGAGCGGCTGCGCGTGTGCCCCGGCAAAAAGCCAAACAACAAATGCACTCCTTGGAGAAATGAAAGAGACTCTGACCCTTCCCAGCTGCTACTGGTGCTGCCGCAATGCCGTCCTTCTGGCTGCACGTGATGCCAGCATAACGCCGCATTTCAGCAGAAAAGGCTTCAATTGATGCCATGCGGCTCACCCATATGTCTACACGCCAACAGGAACTCAATAAGATCCGACCCTACTGCGGCCACCTCTTCCGCGCTGAGCAGCAGAAAGGACTGCTGCTGCATCTGCTGCTGTGCTTGTTGCTTCTGGATGTCTTCCAAATCCTCGGTATCGTGCCGATTTCCTGTGCCTACTGCAACCCTGCTTGCTCCTACTCTTGCTGCTGCTGTCGCTGGTGTTGCTGTTGTTGCGATCGCTGGTGGTGTTACAGATTCCCCTGCCGTTGCTGCTGCTGGTTGTTGATCAAACCGAACGAGTTTGCAGAAGGCAGTAAGGCACTCTGTGGCGCCCTTGACGGCCCTCCAGGAACAAAAGGCCAGAAGCTGCTGTTGCGTTTCTGTGTCCTCGCCGTCCTCGCGACAAACCACCAAGTGCCCCCGACAATCCACCTGAATCTGGTGCTGCTGCTTCTGCTCTGGCTGCTGCCGCGGTGGCTGGTGCAAATGAGGCGGGTGGCTGCGGCTGCTGCTGGGAAAGCCGGCAGTAGCCGGTGCCTGATCATTGGCCGTCTCCTCCAGCTGCCCTGATGCTGCGGCTGCTCGTGCTTCTGTTGCCGTTGCTGCTGTTGCTGCATGTGCGTCTGTGTCCAGCAGAGGTAGCTGGGGTGTGTCGTCTTCGTCCCCAGCAGCAACGAATGATGTAAGGCAACGACAAATGCTCAACAGCACCAGCAGCACCCGTTGCTGCCAGTCCCTCCAGGCGCACGTTGCCTCTTTGCACCTACACCTGCTTGTCTTGCTGTTGTTGCTACAGTTAATCTGCAACAGAGTGGGCTTAATTGTCACAAGACAGACCTCCAGAAGCCCAAGAATCCCGTGCAACCCCATCTGCGGCTCAGCCAGCGCCAAGGGGCTCCGTTGCACTGCAGTGAGACGAACTTCCGCTGCTGCTGTCAGTATACACAATACCCGCAAAAGCTCGCCACAAGAGTGCCACATGCAACTGCAGCAGCTGGTGCTGCTTAGGTTGCCGTTGCCATGTCCGCTGCTGCCGGTGCTAAGCGGTAAAGGTGCTACTGCTTCCGCTTCTGCAGTGACCCGAAGGGCTGGCGGCAGCAGCTGTAAAAGGGCCTCCTCAAGTGCAGAACAGAAAATAGTTTGCTGCTGCAGAACGAAGGCAGGTAACTCACAGTGAGCACCTCCAAGAGAAGCAGAACCAGCAGAAGCTGCAGGGTGCTGGCAGGCACTGGCTGCAGCAGCAGCAGCTGCAGTTGCTGCTGCCGGACCCGTGAACAGCTGCTGCAGCAGCAGCTGCAAATGCAGCGTCCCTGCAGCACAATAATCTTGCCTAATGGAAACCGCCATCTCAACGGCTCCCCAAACTCGCCTTCTTATGCCCTCCAATGGGTCCAACAGGGTATGCTGCTGCGGCTGCTGGCACGGCTGCTGTGCCTGGTGCTGCTTCTCCTGCGTTTCCGTCCGTTGCTGCGTCTGCATATGCGTCTGCTGCTCCTGACGTTGTGCTCGCTGCAGCTGCTGCTGCGCCTGCACTTGCTGCTTCTGCTGCTGCAGTTGCTGCGGATGTTGCGGTACTGGAATGGTGGCAGCAGCGGGAGAGTCGTTGGGCAAAAGCTGCAGCAAATCCAACAAGAGGCTGCGCGGCGCAGGACCGTTGACTACCGGCAGCATCGCCAGCAACTGCTGCCGCACGGCGGGCGCCACCCAGCCCAAAGCAGCTCCCACGGCACAGCCCATTTCTGCTCCTGCCTCGGGGGCCCATTGTTGCTGGTTTCCGTTGGTGCTGATGCTTGCGCTGCTGGAGCTAATGCTGTTCACAGCAGCAGCAGCTTGCAGCACCGTTGATTTCTTTTTATGCTGCTGAGGGAGCGCTCCCAGGCCCCAAATTGAGTGAAGGGAACGCAGCAACGCCAAACAAATCAGCACCCTGTCAGGAGGCGCCCCCGGGTAGCAGGAGAGAAGACAGCGGCAATGAAGCCGCTGCAGGAACAGCAAAAAGCATCCAAACGCACCGCCGCAGGCAGCCCCTTGTTTCTGTTGCTTCAGTTGCTGGTTTTCCCTTTGCATCGGCGAAAACGCCACAAGGCAGGTGTCTGGATGCTGCTGCTGGGGCCTGCAGCAGCAGCAGCCACTACGTGAAAGAGACTGTATGGTGGCATCTGTCTGTGCAGCAAGCTGCACTCTAAAGGCGTTGCGAGCTCTGAGGAGCAGTCGTTCGAAAGCAGCAACGAATTGGGATCGTTCGGCTGCCGATCCCATCCGCAGCTGGAGCCCTGCAGCAAACAGTAGGAGCTGCAGCTCCTGGCAGTTTGGTGCTGCTGTCGAGTGTGCATGCAGAGTCAGCGCCTCCAGCAATCTCATGCGCTGCCGCCGCTGCCCGCTGCTCAGGCCCTGACGCAGCCGCCCGGGAGAGACCCGATAGCAAACAGGAACAGCTGCGCTGGTGCAGCCTCGAACTACGAAGGTAACTGCACCGCAGCAGGAGCCCCCACACCCGCCGCTCCTGCAGCCGTAGCAGCAGGAGCTGCTGCTGTTCCTGCTGCTGCACGCGCTGCTGTTGGGTTTCCCGCTGCAGCAAGAGCTGAAATCATCCTGAAGCCCTTCTGTTCTTTCCCATGTGGCGAGCCCAGCAGCTCTCGCTGCTGCCAGAACTGCCGCTTCACTAGGGCTCCAGGGCCTCCCAGGGCCATCGAAGGACGAACGAGCATCGCCAAGTGCAACGCCACTCAAACGCGCATCTGTTGCTGGTGGTGCTGCTGCTGTCGTTGCCGCCCCTGCCTCTACGGTCAGTGCTTCCGCTACTGCTGCCGCCGTTGCCCCTGCGGCTTCGACCGCTTCCAGAGGGCGCTGCTCGCGGAGGCAGAGCAGCAGCGGAGCTGCGGCAGAAGGTTCCAGTCGCAGCAGCAGGGGCAGCATCGTCTCGTCAAGGGCCTCCCCAGGAGACGCATCTGCTGTTGCTGGCAGCTGGACGGGTAGCAGCAGCGCGTATTCCCGAGGTCCTTGCTGCTGCTGTTCCTCTTGCCATTGCTGCTTCTGGAGGCCTATTTCACTGCAGCACTTAGTGTAGCTGTTTCCAGTCAAAGCATTTTGTAGGGGTCCCATCAAGAAGCTCCGAAGGGTTTGCGAGGGGACATAGCAGAGCTGCTGCGTACGTCCGCGTCGGGTCGGATGAGTGCTGCCTTTTCCTTCTTGCTGCTGCTTCTGCTGCTGCTGCAGCTGTCGTTGCTGTTGCTGCTGTTGTCTGTCTTGCTTACTGAGGTCTTCACAAAGCGCACGCAGGGCCACCATAGCAGCCGAACGTAGCGACCTGTTTTGCAGCTGCGAAAGCAGATGCTGCAGCAAATACGGCTGCAGCTGCAGCACGCGAGCGGCTCCCAACGCGTGTACCAAAGGAGCCAGGGCCTGATATAGCGCCTTCCTGCAAGCTGTGGGTAGACAGAATAAGCGTCTATAAGGCGTGACCAATAGATCGAAGCTGCTGTTGCTACTGCTACAGCTGTTGCTGCTGCTGCTGCTGCTGTTGATTGAACCTGCTGCTACACGGACCCCTTCGGAGCAGCGCTGCAGCAGCAATGCCCAAACAGATCGAGCAGCAGCTTGTACACTCCGTCGGTGATGTTGCCAGCCTCGCAAAGCTTCGTCTGCAACGAATTTAAGTTGCTGCTCATCTTGTTGCAGTAACTGCAGCAGCGGGCCTTGAGGAGCCTGTTCGAGCCACAGCTGCAGCAGCAGTAGTTTGCATTCGTCGTCCAGCTCTTGTTCGGCCTCCGTCACTGCATCAATGCAGCGCAGCTGGAGTTGCAGCAGTTGCAGCTGCCCCTCCGGTGACGAGAGTGTGCAGCAACCACCAGTTGACTCCTCACTTGCCTGCTGCTCCTGCTTCAAGGCACCGCTGCTTCCTTTGGCTGCTGGTTCGTGCTGTTGTACCAGTAACGAGCGCAGCAGAGCAGTCTTGGCGAGTGGCCTGAGGCGGCTAAAAATTTTCGACAGCGTTTCCGCCCCAGCTGCTCCTGCAGTTGCGGCAGATGGCGCGAGTTGTACGCACTGTAGCAACTGCAGGGCAGCCTGCCGTTGCTGCTGCTGCCCTTGTTCAGCTAATAGTTCGAGCAAAAGGCCAATCAGCAGCTCCCTGCAGCAGTGAGGGACCTCAATTGGGGACCCCGATGCTTCAGGGAGCTCTTCCCTCCAGAAGCGGCTGTCCAGCAGCAGCTGCACAAACAAGGATGCCACAGGAATTGAAGCATATATCTCCTGCTGCTGTTGCAACATCTCCAGCAAACGCCAGAAGATTCGGTACTGCCCCCGTTGCTGCCTCTCTTCGTGCTGCAGCCCGACCGGCACTTGCTGCTGCTGCTGCTGCGCTGGCATCTGCTGCACTGGACAGCCAAAGAGCAAATCCTGCATGCATGGGAGTGTCCACAATTGTGGTCCAAGAGACGAAATACCCCAACTAAGGCCTGCTGCTGCTGCTGCAGCGGCTGGAGGGCTGCCTGCTTGCGAGTGCAACACAGTAGAGACGCAGAGCTGCAGCGGCCCCTCCAGCAGAGAGACGTCGTTCTGCAGTAGCAGCACCTGCTGCTGCTGTGTCTGGAGCCTAATTGACTGCAACAGCGCATTGCGGGGAGCCTCTGTTGCCGTGAAAGCGGCAAACTGCCTCAGGAGTGCAGTGGTCCTTTGCTTTCTCACGCCTTCTGCTGCTGCTGCTGCTGTCCATGTTGCATATGAGAAGCCCCTCAGGAAGCGGCGGGCAAAGCACAGGGCCACGGCTGAAGCAGGCGTGGCTTGCTGCACCAGCAGCAGCCGCTGCGGCTGCTGCTCTGAAGGATCCTGCTCCAGCCTCTGAGCAGGCACCCTCCAGCATGTACAGAACAGTGCTGACGAGCAGGTGGCAACTCCTCCTTGGCTTTTTCCGCTACCGCTGCTGTAGCTAATGTTGCTGTTGTAGCTGATGCTGTGGCCATTGTCGTTGCTGTCTACGATGGGCGCAGTGAGGGGAGAAAGAAAAAGGAGGACTCGCTGCAGCATTCGGAAGATACGCTGAAGCCTCCCCTCTATTCCACTTGCCTGGTGGTGCTCCATCAGCAGCAGCAGCTGCTGCTGCATTAGCTGATTAAGCCACAAGCAGCACAGCTGAGCGTAAGCTGCAGCAGCTGCAACAGCATGACTGGGCGACAAAATTCCCTTGCTATGGGCGTCTTCCGTTTCGAAAGATGGTCTAGTTTGCTGCCCTGCTGTTGCTGTTGCTGCTTCCATTGCTGACGTTGCCGCTGCTGAGGCTGCCGATGCTGCTGCTGACGGCCTGCTTGCTACTGCTCCCTTGGCTGCTGTCAGAGGTTTGGCGACGCTTTCTGCTGCCTGCATTAGGCACGCAGCAAAGCCCTGTAGGCTTTCGAGATGCTGCGTGGTGAATAAATCAGAATCAAAGCCATCCGCTCCAGCTGCAGCAGCAGCTGCTGCTGCAGCAACAGATTTCGATGCGAAGGAGCTGCACCGGGGGTCGAGGTACTGCCTGAAGTGGGCTCTCCACAGTTTCTGCACCCACTGACTGTCAAACTGTCGGTTGCTGCTTGCGGTCCCGGGGGGCACTGCAGGTCCTGCTGCAGCAGCTGCTGCTGCTGCATTTTCAAACAACGCGTTCAACGCCTGTGTCACCTCGACTGAAGAGCCCCTTGGTGCCAGCTGGTCAGAAGACAGCTGCTCTTCTGCAGGCACAGGTGCTGCAGCACCTGCTGATTCCGGTGCTGCCGCTGCAGCAGCTAACGAAGTGGGTGGCGGTGTTGCATCTGGGGAGCAGACAAAGTGGAGCAGCAGCTGCAGCACCTCATACAGAAGCGGGTCTCCTCGCGGCAAGGGCGTCCAGCCAGACGCCTCGACGGCGCAGGGCTCCTCCATAGGCAAACGCAGCCATGGAAACCCTAGACCCTAACCTGTTAAATCATCTATGCGCTGAGGCCGAGCAACCGAATGCAGGCGCCATAGCGCATATTCATTCATGCAACAAAATGAACAAGCCCTTTGTCTCTTGTTATTCAATCTATAAAGAGAGAATAAATATTGCAACTATAAAAATGGGCCACTAAGTGGGGTGGGGGGCCCGGCCGTGGGGCCCCACATTTCGAAGTGCTCGAAATCGACGAATTATTAATACGCCGGAAGGATGAGGTGAAAAAATTAGAATAAATACTCTCGATAAAAAGGCACAGAAATACACAAACTGGATAGCAATCGCCTTCGTTATCTACCCAATTTGGTCTTCCTTACCCCCCGGCTCCCATCTCTGCACAGACGCGGAGAAAAAAGTGAAAAGCATAAAGAGGGTCGGCAGACACCTAATAGGAACAAGCGAACGTACTGAGCAGCACTTGCACGCACTGGAACTCTCTTATAATTATCGAATCAATTGTTACTTTTTTGACTCGCCAGTAGTCGTAGTATAGTCGAACGCACACTGAGAATATGCACGCAGACAGAAAGCAAATTTCAACAGATCCCTTCTCCGCAGCGCAGAAGCAACGCACATAGCTTTCAGATGAAATTGTGTTCGCCAGAATTTCGCATCTGGCGTGTTCCTGGAACTTATATACAATCTGGTACGGGCGGCCAACACGGACGGAAGATAGCTCATGTGCGTCGACATCACGCACCTCAACAAAATCAGGGTGGAAAAAGACTTCTGATGCATAGAGTGGACGAATTATTGGACTCCTTACAGTATTGAGCGGTCTGTTCATCGTTTGGTTCCGCAGCCTTGTCGCTTGCCCCAGTGCATCCCAAGAACAGGCACATGACTGCGCACCCGCATAACTAGAGTATGTGCACCCCATTTGGGCCCATGAATGCGCCTGCCCAACTGTAGTGACAGATCGCCTAAGGAAACCGTAAATGCTGGAGCAAACCAATGATCGGTGGGGTGTTGCATACATGGACGGCGTGCTTGTGTTCAGCCGGAGTGTGCAGAAGCATTTGCAGCACCTGCAGCGCGCGAGTGAAACAATGGTTCGTAAAAGCACGAGCATGTTCGCTTTTTTTGTGCGAGCAGTTCGCTTCGTAGGGTTTCGTTTACCTGCACATGACGTGGAACCGGGTCATAAGAAAATAGGCTTTTTTCGGAGGGAGCTGCTTCCCCTGTGCACTCTTAGGGACGGTCTCCTCAGTGTCGCATTGTATCATATCAACTCCGCCATAGAGGCGGCAATGCAAGCGAATCTAGGGATGGACTCACTTACATTGCCGCCCCTATGGTGGATCTAGTCAAAAGGGAGGGACGCAGTATTTGAACAAAAGAACAAGAGGCCGCCAGAAGCCTCACCAGGCACGTGGAATCGCCTTCACTACACGCCGTCCTTCCTAAAAACCGGTGATAGTGACAACGCGGTTAGCGTGTTGTTCGCTCAGTGAGAAAACAATTGGAAAAACGTACCAACTAATCGCTTGATAGTCATGCAGAAGTATCCGGTACGTGGATACAAACTCTACTCGGTCTGGTGGGGAAGTTTCGACTCTACTTGTACACTAGGCACACTGTTCAACCCGGTTATCAAATATACCATCATGGGAGAGTATCACAAGTTCGTTAACGCTTTCTGACTCCAGTTCACGGAGTGGATCAGTATTCCCACCGCAGGGCTGCCTGCCGAGATGGCTAGCTAGCTAGCCAGCCACTAGCTAGCTAGCCAGCTGGCAGCTAGCTAGCTAGCTAGGTGGCTACCTATGGTGACAGAGCCCCCCCAGCTTACTGGGTTAGGCAGTGCTGCAGGCGCAGCCTCTTTATGCCTGGAAGTAACGTGAATTCCGCGACGAACACGGAAGCAGACGTCCAAACTGAACGCACCCGTCACTTGTTCCTACAGTGGTTCAGAATCCACAATGAGCAAAAGGTCATCAAGCTGGCTCTCTTTCTTTGCCTGTCCAGAGCTACTTCATCATACAACATTGCGCTTATTATGCTGCTGTTCTCAGGATTTTCTAATCAGCACCAGGCGTTGGAGCGGATTGTTGGCAGCAAGCTCTGTGCGCCCGCAGATGCAGGCTTTTATATACCTCTTACAGCAACACGGGAATGCATGGAGAAAGCACTGGAACGGCAGGCAAGAAACGATCAAGGACATTCACCAGTCACCTCCAGTCCAAGCGACATGGTTACACACGCTCTCCCAACGGCGCCGGACATGCAGCAGCCGAATTCAATTCGCCACTCGTCGGGACTTCAGTTGTTCGTTCATGTGTTGTCTTTCATCTTCAACTTACCCCAACCAGGAGAGGCCATCATGCCATTAATGCTGGCTTTCTAAAACGGTTGGGGAAACCCCTAAGACTTCTGCTAACCCACTCCGTAAACGGCTGCAACGTCATGACGGAAGGGAGCAATTGAAGGAGATTAAGATCCCGGGCAAAACATGAAACTGCACGCAAAGGGCACAGCAGCGGCGAGTATCACTTTTTCTGGTCAGCGTATAAACAAGCCCAGTGGATTTCTGATTATCGCCTCTGTGAAACAATTCGCCAGGAGCATCTGCGTGCCCTTGGGAATGAACGGTGGAGAGTACAAGCGAGAGGATGCCCATGGCAAGTCAGTATTACGGCGCTTACCACTGCGAAGAATTGTTTTTTATTAATCCTCGCTTGCGTACCTGCTCCAATGATTTACCGGCTGTGATCTGCGACCCTCCCTTGACCTGTGGGTAACACGGGGCCACCTCCGACACACTTTCATTTGTACATGTTTTGGAGTTGGCACTCCATCTCGAACTCTCCGGACACATACATCTCACGCTCGCTGTAAGGCTCTGCTGCAGTTCGTTTCATATTTTTGTTGAGCTCCGCAAGCCCAAATTTACAGGGTGCTGCCAACAGAAGCCAAACGACAGAACAGTTCACCAAATTCCGGATTCCACTGCATGATGTGGCCTGCAGCAGCAGCAGCAATGAAAATGGCGGAGCGAAAGGTGCAACGGGAAACCCGTCGCATCTCTTCCTCCGTCACTGTTTTCTTCCTGCGTTGGAGCGCTGGCCGTCCTCGCAACGTCCTTCCCTTCCCTCTCGCGGACTGCCGTTGCAAGTGGTGTATCGAGATTCGTAAAACGAGAGTCTTAGCTGTGCACCTCAGTGGGCGGTCGTAGAGTCAGTACACTCAGGATACGAGTTATCCACAACTGCTGAGCTCCCTCCCAGCCTCCAGGACCTAAGCACTGCGGCGCTGGGGCCTGTGGCTGCTGCTGAGAGATGGCCTGTCATGGGTTGCAGCACCCACTGCTACAACGTCTTCTGGAAAGTAATTTCAAATGCTAGCAAAGTTAACCTTCTTTTGATGCATAAACTTAACATCCTAGACTATGGTTAAACACTTGCTTGGTTCTTAGTAGCCGCTCTGTATGCAAGTAGAAAATGCACATACCTTCAGACAGTGCATGCTACAGTCGTCGTGCTGCGCATTATGGCCGACAACAGCAAGCATGAGAATGACGTCTAGTACTTTTGAATGAGTATGTGCCGTTGCGCTTGTGAAACAGGCTAGTTGGCGGTTGTGACTGTCGATTTACTATCATCTACACATCTAGGTGGAGCGTCTCCACAATAGCCGTTACCTCAAATCTATCAGGCTGCAAGTGCCTTACAGAGGAAGCTTTTTCCCCCAAAAAAATATTTTCGCTAAAGGCGTACTGGCCAGTGGAGGCAATACCTAGCCAATAGACAGCCTGGCTTGGTTCCAACCACCAGGATAATTGAGTTGCCGTAGCGGAAAGATTTTTAGTCAGGGGATCAGGCGAAGACGAAGCTTTTTTGTCCATATGAACAGTTGTTATTTTGCTTGTGGAGCTATTTAAGGGAAAGAGTAGAATTACGTGCGTCAGTACATCAAACTGCTTGAATGGAACGGCGGCTAGCAGCAGGTATTACAGGCATCGGTCGAAATTCTCTTCCTGCTTAGGTGCAGTATGATTGCCAGTGCCACTGCACAGCGCACACGCCAGTGCCTGGGGTCGGCAGAGGACTTGCCCCATGCCTCTCAATGCGGAGTTTGCCGCCAGGCGGGCTGACGCAAGGAAGCAGCTCTGGCTTTAAGCGTTCAGTCCCTACTGTTGTGAGTCAAGTCAGTGTTTAAATCAAGAGGCACCGTAGAGCCTGGTAGATCCTTTTGATTCTGCAGTTTCGACCTATCCGTCGTGCGTGTGGAAAGCTTACCGCTCCCATGTTCCACCAACCGTGTTGATGCACCAGCTCTTATGCAAATGCTTGTGTGTTTTACCTAATATCTCCTCCAACAATTTAAGTAGCGCACTTGCAGGTGCGGCCCCCCGTAACTTCAAGTAGCTACGTTCCAAGCTCTCATGCGCCACATGGTGCAAGAGAAAGCAAAATAAAAAAACGGACCACATCCACTACCATTGATAATAATCTGGGTTCTTGAATTGGAGATAAGGGACACACATGCAATGCTGCGCTCCACTACTTATAGGAAACTATGTTTGTTTCCATACCATATCTCTACTGATTGCTGGCGGAAAGGTGGAGCTTCTGCCTTCCACCCAAACTACTTCAAAGAGGCGTATGCAACATTCTGATATGTTCTATTAGAAGCAACGACTTGCTTCGAAATTGGGCAGATAAGTTAAGCTCTGACGCTTCTTGAATGCAAAGTGCAATCAAACAGCGTTCGGGTGTTGAAGCTGTTAAGGGACACCTAAATTGTCATCAAAGGTATTGCGAGATCCGCCCAATTAACGTGAAGAGAGTGCTCAACAATATGAATTGGGCTCTAAAATGTTGGAAATTGCACTTTGTGGTGTGGATTCGAGACTATGGAGGTGCAGAAGAGCCGTGGGGAATGGGAACTACAGCCCTACCGAAGTAAAATAAGTTGTTGTTAATATGCAGTAGGAACTATCCACTGTGAATTAAGAGCTCACAAAATGTGAACTGAAGCAAGTGGACTATGCGTTGAGATCGGTTCAGTGTAAGTTGGTGCCTAGCGAGCGTGGGTAGAAGCCTGGTAAATCTGCGTGCACAGTGACCGCCCTTCATGTATTTAGATACGCATAGGGACCTAATGAATACGTAATTAGACAAGGAACACGAAGTACCTGCATATGTTCTATCAGAAACAAATAAAAAAATTTCAGGCCACAGCCATAGTCTCTCCTGAGGTCGCTTCCAAAGGAAAAGGAAGAGCTACGACAGGCCGTGGCCAAATCTGAACTGCGAATTTACGCTTAAACCCTCAGTGATGCAAAACAATGCAAAAAGAAAGAGCAGCCTCTCACAAAGCTCCTTAATGCAAATGCGTTGCGGCAGTCAACATCTGCTCCTCAGAAGAGTATGTAAAAGCTCGTCAACTCTCGAGGAAAGAGAATCCCCGTAGAGATACACTAGAGACCACGTTATGGACTCACTTCTGAGGTCGTAGATTAGTCTAATGTTCAGTCCAATCAAGTTATTTTACTGCGCCGCTGGTCGATTGCCGAATCAAAGAAGGCGCTAGAGGAGGAACCTGACGATAGATTCCAAATCATCAACGTTGCGTTTCAAATTTCCGCTCTTTTTCGTGTCCATAAAGTCTCTTTTGCTGCTACGTTCTTCCTCAGGGAATTTTTTATTTTTATCGGTGTAGTGCTGCACGTGAGCAAACATCTCCTCTGTAGACCATATAGAGGCTGAGGAGATCAACAAGCGCTGAATGACGTCCATAGGACTCTCACCTGCCTGCTTACTTGGAGAAAAGAAAACCTGTTGGGTATCAAACTCATTGTGTAAATAAAGTAGTCTCACGGGAGTGGTCCTACGAGGCGTTCCCCCTTTATCAAGTCCTTGAGCAGTCAAGAAGGGGAGAAATTTCTCCCTTGCCTTTGTGGCACAATCTTTTAAGATTACATTCTGGCCGGCTGCACTCCCAAGCAGTTCAACCAATTCCGGGTGCACCCTGTCCGTCATGCCTAGCGCTTTAAGGATTAACTTGGGACCCCCGAAAAATTTGAACATTTTCCCCATTTTTCCTAACATGTTGACGCCAGGTATGCTGCTGGCCTCAGGAGGCAACTCAGCTAAAACCTCCTCTGGAGATACACCCTCCAAAACCTCGTCAACTCCTTCAAGATATTCGGCCATGGTCTTTCCCTCTACACGCGCTAGGTCTATCCACTCTGCTAACGACGGTATTTGATAGCTGCTTCCCAAGCCTAGTATTGGCACTGGTGTACGTGTGGTTTGGTACAAGTCATACAGTGATTCAAGCGCACTCAGCGTTTCCGACGCTGCATCGCAAACCCCCGTCAGCAGCAACAAATTCAATTTGTAGTCCTCACATGTTTCCAAATCTGAAGGGTCCGGTCGCTTGGTCGCCTTCATTGCATCTATGTGCTTCTTGTACAGGCTCATCGGGTCAAGAGGGGGTTTTTTCTTCTTGTTAGTTGAAGGTGTATAGAACCTTGCAAAGGCTCTTCTCACAGTTGGACTCGAAAAATCCCAAGTTGCTAAGAGCTTCGTAACACTGTCATGGAACCCCATCTCATAAGGCCCCAAATCTTCTGCATACTGAGCAACTTCCTCGTGGGGGTACACATCCTCATCAACAGACTTAGGGGGTTCCTCCTGGGTCTTCATGCCTGCATCTACAGACTTGACGGGCTCCCCTTGGGACTTCAGGCCTTCTTCAACAGACATGTGCGGTTCTTCATGAGGTTTCGAATCTTCATCGCCAGCCGTAACAAGTTCCTCATGAAGACCCAGTTCTCCTTCAGCAAACTCCGTTGGTTTGTCATGGGGCTTCAAATCATCATCAGCAGACTTAACGGGTTTCTCCTGAGGCTCCAGGTGCTCATCAAGAGACTTAAGGGGTTCCTCTTCGGGCGTCGGATGTTGAGCAAGCTCGGGGGGTTGTTGGTCTGACACCGGCGCTGCGTGAGGGCTACCTCCCCGTTGTACTCGTGCTTTTGCAGCCGAGAATACTATGATGCCCAGAAGCACCACCAAGAACAACTGAACGGCAGCAGGCCTCCGTTGAGCGGGTCGACTTTTTCTTGTAATTCTGGAAGGATTCTCAAGAGCGCTCTGCTGACGCCGCTGAACTTCAGGTGGACCGTCTTGGGATATGGTGGCTTCATTTGGCATATCTCCTCCCTCCTTCGAGGAGGTCTGAGACCGTAGGCGTTCTGTCATCTCTTCTCCAAAGGTTCTGTGCCTCCTCTTCTTAACTGGTTCCAAACAAATAGATCGATGCGCTCCAGCGAGAAAAAAAAAGAAAAGAGCGGGAAGGAGACCCACGCCATCCGCTTCGTAACATCCTAAAATGCCATACTTAAAACCCCAATCACTTAAGGCTGTTTTTACTTTGCTGCCGAGGAGAATATTGCCGGCGGTGAAGACCTCGGATTCGACTTCACACGCATCGCGAAGTTGCTACCGGAAGGCGATTCGATGCATTCGTATACGTGCATTCAACTAAACTAATTCTTATTCAGATTTGTGTTATTTCCACAAGTTTTGAATAAATTGGGCAGAAAGCACTGGCAGGAAGTTTTTCGCTGCTGTGGCCAGCTGTTGCATCGACGGGTCTTGGGGCGCCCTCGAAGAAGCATCTGATCTCAGTGTTGACTTCTGAGAAATGAAACATTTAAAATTAAGAAAAATGCAAATGCAAATAGTGCCCAGTGGTTCGGCCGTCACTACAGCTGGTAGGCGCCCAGGGCAGCCGATCCCAGGGTCCGATTGCAAGCGATCCAACTAAGACGGTCTACCTTTGATCCAACTGCAGTACTTCCACGGAACAGCTCGAAATACTCATATCAATACACAAAGTAATGCAGAAAAGAGAGGCTAGATTAAAATAAGCGGCGCTCAAGCAATTGGGCACGTTTGGCAATCGCTGCTTTGCGTAACTCGTTGTTTCCATCACTTGTGTGAAGCAACCTTGATGGCAGCAACTTCTGGTGATGAGACAATATTTGCCCTCTAAAGACCGTATCACTCTTTGCCCAATTATCAGCCCGGTTTTGTTTGGTGATTAAAAAAGCAGATGCCACTAAATAAGGCGCAGAACGTAGAGGGCTCAGCACCGCTCTATCCAACGTAGATACCATAGCCGGCACTCTACACGCATTCCATTACCTAACCACACAGAACACCTAAACTAGCATTAACATAACCACACAGAACACCTAAACTAGCATTAACAGCTAATAAACCCATTTATGCTACATTTATGTCCTTCCGCCGAGCAAAAACCTCTCCCTTCACGAAGAATTCGCCCCCCGGGTGGACCTCTGTCGCTGCCAGTGTCGGTCGGCTACAGCCTACGCCATTTCCTACCAAGGCATGACCAACTTCGGACCATAGTCTCCTGGCTTGGTTTATTTCTAACTTTGCATTGTTTTTCTTATTCTCATCCTCCGGACGGCGGCTTCCGCGGGGCACTGCAGTGCTACATACCAGAGTGAAAGCCGTGGATGAGGAGGCGTATGAACCGGCACTACCAGCTCCTCTCAGATAGTTGTCTGCGGTGTCATCAGTGCGCGTACATCAGAAAGGGTCTAGTATCTACCAGGTTCTCTCTCAATAGTTGTCTGCAGTGTCATCTGTGCGCGTGCATCAAAAAGGGTTTATGATGGGTTGAATGGGGTTTGTTTTGCTGAAGTAGGAGCACCAGCGGCAACGCCTGCAGCTCTTATTACAGGCCCTACTAACCGCAGAAGATTCATCTGTGCTCAGAACCGGACGCCTGCGTGCATGAGAGTTTGTCTACTGCTTTGGGATGGAGCAGTTAACCCACATGATTCTGCTCTGTTACAGTACTCGGCGCTCCCCGGCAGTTGACAAGGACTCTCTTGCCCTTGAGATGACTAGGGGTTTGGGGTCGTAAGAGTCATATAGGCTCAATGCGTACCACAGTACCCTTAATAACGATACTTTGCTCAAGTGGAGAGGCTGAGTTGACCCTCTGCACTTGCACTGTAATTTGCAGACACGCCAACCCCACTTGATAAGCACGCCCCGTCTAATTCCCCTTCGAGTTAGATGCTCTGGCGCCAGACAACGGGGCAAGGACATTCTGAGACTCTGGAGGATATTAAAACGTAAATAAAACAAGAACAAGAACAAAGGATGCAGGTGGCCGTCGCACCTCCACTGCACTCATGTAACATGTGTAACGAACGAGGGCAGGCTACAGGGACTGCACAGACAACATGTAGAGGCCAAATGCCTATTGATTTATAAATTAAGGTATTAAAAATGCCAATAAATAAGCAAATAGAAGTGAAAGCATCTTCTAGTTGGGAAGGAGAAGGGAAGGACAACACGCGCAGGACGCAATAGCGGTCCTGTCGTATGCGAGCAAGCTCAGCAGGTGGGAGGCCCTCAGCAGGATCGCTCTAGGAGGGAATTTGCGTCTCTATATTTGTTATTTATAATATTGAATGTAAATACACTCTGTATCCTGAGGTGGATAGGGAGTTCATCGCCCCATCCGTGGCGAGTTCCGGTGTCACTCGCAGCACTGTGCATACACTCCGAGGATGGCATGCGTCGCGCGTTATATGGGCCGGGTGGCCGCTGCCACTTCATATTCTTCAAATGCTGGTGGATTGTGCACTTTTCTCGCCCCAGTGGCCGTCGCGGGAGTCCGTGTGCCCCGCCAAGGCCTATTCAAGACGCCTTCTGCTCGGGTAAGCAAAGGACCCTTTCGGCGGAGGAACTGAGATGGGAAGAAGCAAATGAGAAACCCTTGAAACGAGCTTCAACAGTCTCTGCATGAGGCAGATGCGGGCAGCAGCAGCAGCTCAAACGCGGAATACCGGACAGTGTAGCGCGTTCTGCTGCTGCTGGACATAGCTGTAAACGGCACTAATGAGCAGCATATCCTTCGATAGCTACGTGCAAAACAGACTCCTCTGACCCAACGTTCTTGGCTAGATTGATGCTGGCAAAGTAGTCCTGTGTGCGCTCGTGTGTGCATGCACACGCATTTTGGGGCGGGGGACTAGCGAAAGCGGCAATTGAGTTTCTACAAATGTAGAAGGATTATGCTTCAGCCGACAGTCTTGTCTGAATGTGTGAATGATGAATTCCAACATCTGTAACTGGAATGCACTATTGGAGCGTATTACGGGCTCTTAGGCTCCTGGTGTGTTCCCTCGCCGTTGCAGGTGTTCACTGACATTAGCTCCCATTCACAATGCTTTTATTGTTTTGCATCAGGGCATTTTCAGTATCTCTCAGCCGCGGCACGGCATTGTGTGCTTTAAGCTTGCGGATATCGGAGAAGGTGCGGCGCACGCTGTTGCGGACCAGAGGGACGCATCCCCTTCTGCTGCCTCTGCGCTGTAAAGTTCAAGTTTTGCTGTCTTTCCTGCCGTTGTTGCTGCTGGGACTCGCATGCTGCCCCACACTGCAGTTGTGGTGTTTCCTTTTGCAGGCATCGCGGCGGTGGAGTTGACGAAATGGTACAAAAAGGAAGGAGATACTATTGAGGAGGTGCGTGACGTATAATCAGATATGCGTGTGCGTGTAAATATGTATGTATATATTGCATGCATAGTATGTGTTTGGAGGGAATGAAAATGCACATCTCTGGTTCTTTTTTTCGTTGCTTCATCCATCATGTTTTAAAGTAAGAGTCATTTGCCTCTCTTTTCACTGAGCTGCTTAATAATGCATACAATATATGCATGTACTGGAGATGTATATGCATATGCATGTATGAATATAAATATTTATATGAATATTTATGCATACAAACCCAACAGCGACAATAGTAATCTCGTGCTTAGCATCTTAGCATCAGAGACAACTGATGTTATTTGTGGAACGCAGATGGAAGAAGTGTGCGAAGTGCAGTCGGATAAAGCTGCAGTTGAAATCACCAGTCGATATTCGGGAAAAATAGTGAAGTTGTACGCTCAGGTGATTCGAGTTGGAGCACAAGATGGCAGCAACAACGGCATTTAGGGGTTTTCTTTAATTGTTATTCATTTATCACTTGTATTATCGCCGGCGAGCAGCACTGAATCGCACTGCTCACGCATTGACCGACACAGCTGATAGGGGGCACCGCATTTAACCTATAGACAGACTACTTTACCCGTAAACTTGCAGAGGAGGAGGAGGAAGCGTTTGCTGATGCATGCATTTGTTCTTTTTCATTCTTCTGAATCTAGGAAGGAGATACAGTTAAAGTTGGCGGCCCCTTAGTGGACATCGACTCCCCAGATGTAGAAGACTCCCCGGCAGGCACGCAGACTTCGCCCCCTCCCCCTGCGGAGACACATGAAGAGCAGCAGCAGGCGACAGCTGCGCCTTCACCATCTGCTAAGGTAAGGAATTGAGCCCAACGCCTTTTTAAGGATGTGCGCGCTCATGCATGCGTACATTCGTAAAGCACGTCCTTCCGCACTCAATACAGCTTTTAGTTGATGTATGCTTTTTTTTTGCAACTGCTAGCGCTACAGGTTTTTGCTCCGAAGTCCGCTACGCTTACTGCGATGATTTTCCATCTATATTGAACTTGCAAATGCATTTGTGATATTTAATAATAATAGTGGATTCATTGGGGTCGGGGGAGATGCGTTAGATTTCCCCCGACCCCAATGCACTTAATCGGGTACCACGCGATGAAGAGCGTAGCGGTGTCTGTGTTTTATTTTGCTTCGGGGGTTCTTGGTATCTGTTTTCTGTAACAATACAAGTTCTTGAGATTTGTATTTTTTTGTGTGCCTGTGCACAGGGAGGAGAGGCCCTGGCGTCTCCTGCTGTGCGCCGACTAGCCAAGGAAAAAGGCGTTGATTTAGATAAGGTGAAGGGCAGCGGCGCTCGAGGGGCGATAACAAAAGAAGATATTCTCAACTATCTCTCGTCCGGGGCCTCAACTGTATGTATGGCTTATCAATGAATGCGCCAGTCACTGCACGACTGGCGTTTAAGTGCTTCCGTAGCGGTAAAGGTATATGACCATCGGTGGGACTGCCTTTAGTTTTTATTTGGAAGCACGGAGGTGTTCCGATTGTCTCATCGGCACGTCCTTCTCGTTGTTTGTCGTCCAGTCAGCAGAATACACAGCGGAGTGGGCGCAAATTCCGTTGCATGTATTTGTGTCCTCTTGTGTGGCCTGCGAGTTTCTTGTGACTGCAGGGGCCGCAGAAAACGTCAACAAAATCGCAACCCCCCAAAACACCGAAGGGGAGCAGAGAAGACCGAGAGGTTCCGTTGCAGGGCTTTTCAAAGGCCATGGTCAAAGTGAGATATTCGACCCCGGCTTCGTGTCGTTGCATATTTTTTCTGCTGCCTCTGTTCATAGCGTGTGTATGCATATATCTGTATGTGTTTACATATTGTCTTTTTGGTAGTGTTTATATACATGGGTTTGTCTATATGCATATCGAGTAGACGGAGAAACAGGTATTCAATGGAGAGCAACCTTTTGCAGTAGATCCTTCAAAATGTCAGCAGCCACCTTGTGCTTTCGATTTATGCGTATGCCGTTGGGTTGGGCGTTTTATCACATACAAGAGGGATGGAAGCAAAGGGGGGAAGCAAACCATCCTTGATTCTGTTGCGGCTGTAGATTGTGATGTAGTGCGTCTGGCGTTTCTGCTGTTTTAGTTGGTCTTGTTTTCGGCGTACAGTTCCTTGTATTTGTATTTACGCACTTGCGCCCGTTTTTGTGCTTGTTTAGTCCATGACAGAATCTCTAAAAGTACCGCATATGAATATCGGAGATGAGTATGACGTAACGCGTTTGGGTGAAGTTCGCCGCGTCTTGAACAACCAACTGGCTGCTGAAGGCATCAAGGTTTCCCTCACTGCCTTTATAATTAAGGCGATGAGCATAGCAATGGATGAATACCCCATTGTCAATTCAAAATTCAACGCGCAAACCCAGAACTCGGTGAGAAAGCAAACGATTACGCGTCTCTCTGTGAGCGAAATGCGTTGGTTTCAACTTTATTATATCAAGTTTATTATAGCGTTTCTCCTTTTCGTCGATGCTCATTCAAGACAATTTCATCACTAAAAGTGGCTATTCATGCGTCCTTCCTCTCAGTACACTGAGTTCGGCAGCCATAACGTTAGTGTCGCGATCGACTCGCCCGGCGGCCTGGTGGTTCCGTGCGTGAAGAACGTTCAAGACCTAACTCTGATTGAAATTCAGCAAGAGCTGATCCGCCTTCAGGGCCTTGTAAGCCAAGAAATGATGCTTGTGATTTCAGCACATTTGTAAATTATTGGTTGTATTCATGCATACAGCTTGAATTCGAGTAGTAAAACGCTCACTGAAGAAGAATAGGAGGGAATATTCAAGGTTTGGCCCTCCTTTGTATATTCCAGAATTGTGCGCTAATATGGCCTTCAGAGTTAAGTGACTCTCTGCCTCTTGAGTACTCTCTGAAAGCTTGAATCCTTAGTATTCATTCGTCCTTAATGAGCACCTGAACATTAAAGACACAAGAGCATTCGGTGCCGTATGCACTTGGCTGGCTTGCAGTACATAAACCCTATGATGGCTTGCGTTTCACTGTCTGTCCTGCTGTTGACAGGCAAAGGCAAATCGACTCTCTCCTTCTGATCTCACAGGGGGCACCATCGCCTTGTCCAACGTTGGCGTCATTTCAGGTGCGGCGGGTATTAGCGTATCTTGATGTGCCGTTGGGGCGGGTTGGTCTAATTTTTGGCCTTGCGCTTCGTTATGAGTATGGCTGAAGGTGTATGAAGGAGAGTTTAGGGGTCAGGGTGTAGGGTTTGGCATGGACATATTGTTGGTATTATAGCTTTTTTCTCGTTGGTTCACTGCTGTCTCGCAATAGTACGTTTGCACTGTTTTGCGCTATATTGTATTCGTGTTGGAATGCGGTGCAGTGCATTGTCTTGTGCTGTCGATTCAGGAACCTACATCCACCCGTTGCTGTTCGATGGCCAGGCAGTGATTGTGGGTGTTGGTCGCGTGCGGCAGCTGCCGCGTTTTGTGTCCTGCGATGACGCAGCAGGCGAAGGCAGCAGCGCACTGGTGGCTCGCGACATCATAAACTGCAGTTTCTCAGCGGATCACAGACACTGCGACGGAGCCACCATAACGCGCTTCAGCAAGAGGTAATAGTTTCCTTACGAACTGGTGTGAGAGGCAGTGCTGAGTGTTGAACCGTGTGTCCATGTCAACGGCTTATTTAATTCCTCCTTTTGGCTCACGACCACAGACCAGACAGGCTGGTATTTGCTGCATTGCGAGGCGATGGCTGCTGCTGTTTCTGAGGCTGCGTAGAAGACCAACAAAAGGATGAACATAATTGGTGTCTGCACTTGCTTCTTCGTCTGCCTGCTTCTTTGTGGGGGTGGTGGTGCAGCATTAAGACGCTCTTGGAGAACCCGGAGATGATGTTGCTGCACTTGAAGTAACTGCAAACCATAGCAACCTTCTACAGCGTGTTGTGCCTTTCGTGTTCTCGAGGACAAAGTTGAACCTACGTACAAAGATTTATCATACAGCTCAGTTCATGCAAACAGAGTGAGTGACAAACCCGCAAGGATAATGATGCAGTGGCTGAAGGCGAAGCAAAGCCCCCTCACCTGCAGCAACCAACCCGGTGCCACCGCCCACCGACGACATCGATACGAGTGCATGCATGCATACACGTTTTGGTGGTGAGCCCGTGTGTGCGTGATCTGCATGCATGCACGCATGCAATGCATGCATGCATGGAAGCACCCGTAACGTTTGAATCTCCAGCTTTTCGTCAGCAACGCCAACGCTGGCAGCTGTTGGGCTCTGCTTGGTGGAGCGAGCTCGCAAACTGAGAGCACCTTCCGATTAACTGTATTGAAAAATATTTATGTATGTATCAATATATAGTGTTTGTATATATATATATATATATATATATATATATATATATATATATATATATATATATATATAT